AATCAACCCTTGATAATTTCTCTATAATGATTAAACATATTTAAAGTAGAGACCGTTATCAATAGTTGACACCATCGCATATTTCTTTTCTACCGTTGTTAGTGTATATATGATGCTACTTTACATCAATATTTTTACAACTACAACACCATAGTCAGTAACCTCATGTTGACAATTGATTATAAGTACAAATTACCAAAACGTGGTCTCTGGTTTATCCAAGTTTCTCGCCTTTTGAATAAGGGTTATTATGATTAGGTTTGCTCAAGAAGCAGAAGTGTGGATTTTGAAGAATTCTCAAGAGATTATACGCAATATTGACCATCCTCTCGGGAGAAACATGTCTATTATGTGCACTTCAGTACCTCATTTCCACTTCTAACTTGGGTTGATCAAGATTCACATAGTGGGTATTACCGATAAAGTAGAAAACGCCTGCTCTTCCGGAACACATGGTCTTCTTATTCTTGTACTTTTTCAGGAGTGTGAATATTTCTTTTGTTCATTTATTGTTCTCATTTTGATTTATTTTGACTTGAAATATGATTATGTTGACATGTCGTTATTTTCTTGTTATTTTTTTTTTTATTATTATTTTATTTTTTAATCTTTACTGCTACATTCCAAGCAACACATAACGTCAACCGTTAATACTAAAATCTTGCTAAAGAACATTAAAGTATTAAACTACAAAGACGATCGATAGATCCTGTTGACCCGGATGTAAGTGCGTGGGTGATCGGTCTTGCTGTGAAATATGAGTTCCCGGAACTTAACCTTCCTTGAAACTTAGTCCGAGATGCGTTTATGATTTTCTTTACAGCGTGTCCCCGAGGTTGCAGTTACGACACACGGTGTACAGCTCTGGGATGTCTCCTTTGTCAACCCAACTTCTGTCATCACCTTTTAACAAGGTAGGCGTTAGTTTCTTCTGGTGAAACAAAATGATAATAATGCTTTCTGTGTTAAAATATTCAATTTCTGAAGGCAATTAAGAGATAGTAACCCATCCCCACCCACACACCAAAAATTATTCATAATATACGCTTTCATAACTGTAAAACATTGTATATTATATAGTCTCATAACCCGCTATCCGGCCGATAAGATTTCTATGTTAATTGATATCGTTCATGTTATATATTTGTACAATGCGGTTTATGAGACTCGAAATTAAATTATGTTCTCCAATTGGATAAAAAATACAATGTATATTCTCCTAGACCAATAATGCAGAACGTTTTTCTGTATACTCTGTGTGTAATGCAAACGCTTAGCATTACTTGTTTTTTTTATGTTGTAGACCAACACGTGTTGTATGTGTTGAACAGTGCCCCACAGGCTACCAATGCAGTGACGTCAGTTTCGAAGGCAACACTAAAAGGCAAGTCCGAAATTCTATACTAACCATCCGAAATAATGGTCACATACATAAGAGTTACCAATTCTGGGTTCGGTACTAAGACATGTTTAGGAGTAGTTCCTGGCGGTCCCGATACAAACAGCAATATATTAATCAAGAATGTATGTGTGCTTCACAAAGAAACATGCACGAGTATGCAGTGTATGCATGAAAAACGACTTCTTGTTCAGTCGTTTTAGAAATCCAAACAGGAATAGAAATGTTTTAAAAGTGTATAATTGAAAACAAAAAGTGGTGTCTTACGGAACAAACACAAAAAGCAGTAAGCTTTGTTTTATGATATCACACATAACAAACGGCAATTTTTGCTGTATTATAGAACACAACAACACACGGTAAGATCTGGTGTTTTATAGAACATACAACAAACGGTAAGATCTGGTGTATTATAGAACACACAACACACGGTAAGATCTGGTGTATTATAGAACATACAACACACGGTAAGATCTGGTGTATTATAGAACATACAACACACAGTAAGATCTGGTGTATTATAGAACACACAACACACAGTAAGATCTGGTGTATTATAGAACATACAACACACGGTAAGATCTGGTGTATTATACAACACACAGTAAGGTCTGTTGTATTATAGAACACACAACAAACGGTAAGATCTGGTGTATTATAGAACATACAACACACAGTAAGATCTGGTGTATTATAGAACATACAACACACAGTAAGGTCTGGTGTATTATAGAACATACAACACACAGTAAGGTCTGGTGTATTATAGAACATACAAGAAACTGTAAGGTCTGGTGTATTATAGAACACACAACACACGGTAAGATCTGGTGTATTATAGAACACACAACACACGGTAAGATCTGGTGTATTATAGAACACACAACGGTAAGTTCTGGTGTATTATAGAACACACAACGGTAAGTTCTGGTGTATCATAGAACATATAACAAACGGTATGTTCTGTTACATTTTAACAGTATTTTAAGTTGATAGAGTGGAATATTGTAATAATCATGATTATATTGATGCGTCATTAAAAGGTTAAGATTTGTTGTATCTGAAATTAATCCTCTAGAATATGTGTCTTTATAAACGAGTCAGTAAATAATGGCAGGTTAAGGGGACATATGTATATAAGTGTACATATTTCGACGTGTCCCTACAAACGGTGATATACAAAGTGTCTTGAATAACTGATGTCTTCCTTTTTTTCTTTCTCATGTTTATTTTCTCCTGATAGTTGTAGAACATTTCCTTATTATAAAAATATAAAGAGAATATCATTTGTAACGTAACATATACCCATAGATATTATTTCGGATATGTCTTTTGTCCTAACGCTCCGTATTGTATACGTGTACCTATAGTTTGTCGGTCTGTTTAGACAGATTAAGTTCGGTATGGTTGCCGTTCTATGGGTATATATCTAATAAATTCTCTTTTTTTCAGATTTTGCCTGATGTGACGATTGACCTACGATTTATGTGTCAGAGTTTGGCCCCTGTATACATAATTTCTTCATTACGGATATAAATATCAAATATGAATGTATCGTTGCTATTTTATACTTTAATAAAAGCATGTTTTTTTGGTGACTGGGGCTTGTGTTTTCCTTGGTGTTCACGCACCGTAATGAGTTCTGTCCTATATATTATTATTCATTTGCATCACGTGCAAAATATACATTCAACATTATATATATATATATTTTGTTTTTTAATTCAGAAATCATTTTGAAAAATATACATACAAATACTAAGACTATAGACAAAGATATATACTGCATTCTCACTATGATTCACACATACAGACTCACCTCACACACATACATACACACACGCACACAATTATCGACATCCTTACTGAAGCAAGATTAATTCTTTTTAATGCTGATTACATCCATACTACTCATGCAGACACATCTTCATCAAGAAAAAATAAAAAGAGGGTGATTTACAAAAAAAAGGTGTGAAGTTGATTTCATTTCTTCACTGGCTAGTTTAATAGTATAAATATCTTTCATACAGAGAAGTAAGAGGTAAGAAAGAGCTTGAGATGTGGAAAATATCTTCAAAAAGAGATGTGGAAAGTGACATAAAAAGTTGTTATCAATATATATTTTGCAAAATGTCAGGCTTTAGTGTTTACTATTAAATATCAACTTGAACGAAATGTCTCCGCTTACTCCAGGTATTTGTAAAGTTTTGCTTTTTACAATATCATTTTTTACCTTCAAGATGATGTATATTATAATAGGACAATTTCTAAGACACTGCAGCTGAAGCATATTATATACTGGAATAAAGGCGAGTTCCATAAGGGAACGGCGATATTCGTTATCACACAAAGAAATACCATACGTTTTAGTAAGACCGTGACGTCCATTTGAAAAATTACACATCGAACTCGTAACCTGTATTTCTCAGAACACTTCTGGAGCTATGTTGTATTTTTTTCTAGAATGCACATAAGCATAACAATACATCATGATTAGTATATCATCATCTAGACGGTCATCATCATCATCATCATAATCTATGTTGCATGTGGAGTTATGTGTCCATATGATGGTGTACAACTTTAAAGCGACATCTGTCAATAACTAGTTGTGTAAGGTGTCCATATGGTGGTGTACAGGTTTGAGGGGATATCTGTCTTACCTAACAGAACGTATGTCAGTGTTTGACATCTACGTCGGAAATCCTAATATATCAGAAGCCATATCAGGTGCAATATGATGTTTACATCAAGGAAGTTACTTCCGTGGAACAGAATGTTCTAAATAAACAGTAAATATATCGCCAATCCCTTTAGCTACGTTCAACTTTAATACATTAAACATACATATGTATAAAATTTCAAAGTAAAAAAAAAAAACAAAAACAAAAACGGTGTTTGGACTTGTTTCTGAATTCCGGGGTGACAATCCTGAGAACAAACTCTAGATTCCCTTGTTGTATCATTGAAAATGTCTACAACCATACATTGAAATAGAGAAGCTGTAATGGATATAGGGATGAAATAACGTTCTCTGTTTTTAACAAATTTGAAGATGATTTTAAGTAGGGAAAACATTGGAAAACTGATAGGTAACATTGCTCTCAACTTTGAAAACCAAAAACTTTGTTAATTAAAGATGTCAGCACTACATTATTCATGAGAAGCTGAAACAAATCTAGAAAAAAAATTATCTGCTCGAGTAGACTACAGCATAAAACCGTTCCCCATTTGAAAACTGAAAATATACAAAAAAAAAAAGGTTTTATAGAAGCAATATCATAAAATTTGAGTATCCTAAAGTCAGAAATAATGCTTGTTTATTCATACAACAATCACTGGAACTGAGGAAAGTGGGCTTATTGTTATTTAGTTTGCCACCAATTTAATATGCAATTATCTGAAAAAAGTCAGTTGATTAACTATCCCATTGTTAAATTCATCAGAGGATATTTGCCAATTTATTATTTTTTTTTCTTGAAGTACAACATATACCATTTTCACGTATTTAAATTCCCCGCCAATGTTATGTGTATACTTTGAGAGCTCTTCAGTGATGGAGGTAAACTACGCCGGTGTCGTTCAGAAACTTCATTTGCATATTTCTGTTTTGGTAGATGAATTTTAAATTTTGTAACGCCGACAAACTGATCAGAAGTGTAGATTTCTGAAACAGTGATATGATGAGATCGGACACGAACGTTGAAACACGAACACGATCGGATGGAAGACACTCTTTGTCAAGACGCCGAATTACCAGAGTAACGAACAGCGGAGAAAACGGGGCATTTGAAAACGACCTTGCGCTTGCGATGCAGGAGAGTTTGAGATACGCGAAACAAGAAGAAGCCAACAAAAAGAGACAACAGGAAGATTCGTTTGTTGAAAGTAACGGACTAGACGTCCAAAACAAAGTAGGAGAAGTCACGATGAGTGGCAGAGCTTGTATGGAGTCCCCCAAGGGGCCTAAACAACTAAAGGAACTTTTGTTACTACATGTCGATCTTGTTCAACATCAACAAGAACTTATATCTCAAAAAGACAAGGAAATTAAACAATTACAAGAGGAAAGAACAGCAGTAAGTTAAACGCGTGTTCACACGTACTTCATTCATTTAAGTTTTAAAGCCAAAACTACGCATTTTGTACTGCTGTCAGTGTCGTCTGATGGTCTCGTAAGCGGATGAATACATTCCACATTTTCATGCCGACATTGTGATTAGTTGATCAAGTTCCTACATTGACATGTATGATAAACAATAACGGTGCATAGACCTTTGTTGAAATACTCTATGTTGACACGAAAGTTAATGTAATAAGTAAAATAACGACATTTCCCATGTTTTGTTTATTTTTTTGAAAAATTCTATAAATAACTATTTTCTGGTCACATGACTCTTTTCTAATGTTAACTCATGACGTATGTAATATTTTAAAATTTTCTCATGTATGATAATTAGCGTGTTGCCATATCGAATAATTCAAATTAATGAGTAATGGTCATAGCTGTATCTCTTAACGCAAGTTGCAATATACAAAATAACAGAAGTGCTCATACACAAGCATCACGTGATTGGTCATGTGATGAAGCACCGACCAAGCCGCTTATTCTTTGTGTGTATTGTGGCAAGAACCACACGCGGACCCTCTGCTCAATTTCCCGAGAACTCATGAGTTTGGGGGTCTGCAGAATTTTTAAGAAAATGGCCGATGTGCTCATTCAAACAAGGATAAACTTCGGAGTGAAGAAATGGTTCAAGAGACCTGTGAACGGAGAGGTAGCGTTATCATCCAAAATGGCAGACGATCGGTGTTTGATTTAAAATGGCCGCTGGTTATGTTTACAAAATTTGTATCCGAAGAAGCATCATAATCATCACATTATTTTGAACAAATCCTTTTTATAACTTGTTCAATTATCGTTTTGCGATATTACGGATATGGATGTGCTCGGATATTTTCCACATCTAGGTTTTAGAGTTTGGTTCTACATGGGTTGTTTTATGACGCGTGGTCATCGACATGTTTACATGCTGGTAAACATGTCTAGCGACATTGCTTGTTGTATACCCCCGAGATATGTCTTTGTTCGACTGTTACTGTGCCGTTTGGTAATACATACATGTTTGTTTGTCCATAATGATGTATGTGATTGTTAAGATGATGAACATGTATCTGCTTGTCGCTATTTTTCAATTTATTATTAAACAGGCCTACCAATTCGTTCTTATATTCATTAGGATTCAAAGAACGTATTGTAAAAAGGATTTCAACAAGTAAAATTAGTGACAGTTTTGCAAGAGGGTATTGTGATTCTTTGAGAAAATGCATAAACAAAGCATACTATTTGAACATTTGAAATTAACGATAAAATTGTCTTTTCCTTACTATTAAGGGAGTGCTTTGATTATACTTCTGTTGTTTTAAAAGCTAAGAAAGCTCTCGGTGACATTCTGAAAGCCATAAATAGATTGGATGTTGTGCATCATGCATGTATAATATGAGCAGGTTTAATCATTGACTATGACTTAATCTTAACTTTGGATTGAAATAAAGGAATATTTTTTATTACATTAGGAATATGTACATACTGTTATTGTTATAAAGTAGATGAACAAAATTAGTAGAAGACTGACATGCATGCTTGTTCTTTGCTAAATCATTACATAGTCACATCACCTAAAAAAAATGAATGGACTAATGTAGTAAATATAGTCAGAACTATATTAATAACCCAGTTTGTTTTAGTAAGATAGTACATGAATCCAAACAAAGCCTTTAAAATGTTTTAATAAGTGTGATTTTTTCTTAAAAAGACATTCTTATGGTTTAATATGTGATAGAAGAGATTTTTGACAGATTTTCATAGATTTTTGACAGTTTTTCATAGTATGGGAGACAACTCTGATAAAACTTCAGTCAATTGCAAGTGTGTTATGTATGCTGATATTTTTGAGTTGCCAGCTTCAGTTACTAATGTTACTCTTCTGATAGCAGTGTTAACTCTTCTCTTTTTGGATAGAAATAATTGTTAAGAAAATCATTGATTATAGACTACACATAAATAAATATTTAATGTTAGTGAATTTGAGAAAAGGAATATATTCTAATAATCACTACATAAATACATCTTTTGCTAAATGAAACTTTCATCATTTTGGTTTTTATAGGGAAATATCCAATTTTAGTGAATTTTGGAGAAAAACAAACCCAAAACATCAGTATTATAAATTAGGGAATCAAACCCCGAATGGCTACATGGAAGGCAAGTGTGTTACTGCTGTGCCACCAGAACACCTAGTTCATGTACTCAAGTACCTGGCACAGTGTTGTTGTTAGTCATTTCCCAGACTGAAACAGTTTCATATTGCAAAATTAGTTTGCCCATCCTTATTCCATTTGGCTTTCCAGGACCAATACATTGTGTGCCCCAAAATTTTGTAAGATCACAGAAAGTGTATTTCTTAAATAATGTTCCTTTCAGACTATTCATGTAACTTTAGTTTATACCTGCACTGTGCTGGAATGACATAAATTAAAGATGTAACCATATTGAAATCTCTGGTTGAATTCACTAAGTCAATAAGTATTCATTTCACAATGTGTCTTGTTTTCAATGTTATATTACTTTATGAATTTTACAGTTAACATGTCGTCTAGAGAGAATGGAAAGGAGAATGTCACTATTGAAACAGAAAGATGACTTCTCAGATATACAACATAAAGCATTTGGGAGCCCGAACTCGTGTGCTCAGTCTGCATCCAAGACCACCAATGAACAACCATCAACAACAGCAGACCGAGGGACTAAACGGTAATGTAATGAATTTTTGTCACATGTTTTGCATGTACTCTCAGGGAAGAATTTAAATTAAATTTAATCTGCAAATGCTACCTTTTGTTAATGAGGTAAATAATCTTTTCATTGTAAATCATTTGCTTGTTTTACTATTGAAATTTGATTTGAGGTTCAAGTGTCGCATTTTAAGAGAAGTATATATAGAAACATTAAATAATCACAGGAAAAATTATAGAAGTTGTAATGGTTTGAGTCTTAATTATCCAGTCACATTATTATTTTCAGTCTGATTAATGTGTTGAAATACATGTAGACAAGTAATTTTGAAAATTAAAAAAAAAATCACATGGCATTGTGTATGTTCACTGGTCAATGTATGGTGACAATTTTAAAGAGGGATTTAATTTGTACACAAGTCTTTATAATCACTGCTTTGTTTACAGAAAGTCAACTGGCTTGGAGCCACAGAATCTCACCAAGAGGTTTGCAGCAGAAGCTCAAAAACCTCTAGCCGCATCAACTCCAAGTCATCGTACAGAACGACACCAGCGCTACAGAAACAGGTCAGCAACTGTATCTTCGTCTGTAAGCTCTGCCCCTAGCATTGACCCAGCAACCTCCAGCACTGCAAGCCCTCGCAAAAACCGACGGTCAGTCAAGGATATCCGTGACAGTCCGGACAACTCTGTATTGCGCACCAATGACCCTTATTATGTTTCCTATTATGAACCTCAAGATGAAGATGATATTGACCTTGAATCTCGAGGAGACATAATCCAGGGAGCACATAAAGAACTCCAAGGTACTTTACAGGCAACAATGTACAATTTTAAGACACACTTTGAAATTTTCAGAGCATATATATCCAGGAAAATAACCCTAAGTTGTTGCATCACTGATAAATCAATATATAGGACATTTTCAACAACTAATGATATTCTTTGTAATCCTCAACTTAAGATGTAAATGTAGATAATTTCACTGGTATATATGTCAATTGGAATTTGATTTTAACAAACTAAAAACCAGCGATTAAATGTGCCTTGTATTTATACTGGTTAGGACCCAACTTATGTAGACATTTTAGACTGAATGCAGTCTGTGTGATCTTTTTTTCTTGTCAACAGTGGAAGTATTGAATCAAGTCTTATTTATACTCTTAAATATGTATTTCTATCCAGCCTCAGGACACATCACAGTTCATTTTCAAGTGACATCATTGTTTGTTCATTGAAATTTACATTTTACATATGATGATATATATCATTGCAGTTGAATTACCACAATGGCAAAATAAGACCTACACCAATCTTTGGGTACTGGAAGGAACAGAGGTAAGATTTAACAAAAACAATTCTGTTACTAATTGGCATACTGCAAAATTAGAACTGTAAGACATCTAGTGAAATAGTTTGGAACTATAGACATTCAACCATATACTTCAACCTTAGTGCTCGTAAGCAAGACAGATGAAAAGATGGAAATTGATAGTATTGTATTAAAGAAATTTAATCTGCTCTGCATGATCAATGTAAGCTATTTTTGGTATGGTTCTTTTTTTCCAAACTAATGCTCTGCCAATGCTGTGTTGATACAACTCAACATGGCAGACATATTCGATGGAAACTTGACTCAAGACTCTTTTGATTGATATATCATAGTTGTGTCTACTGTAAGGTGTTGTACTACCTCCTGTTAAGTGAAATACTATCTTCTGTCAAGGCATAATTTGTAAAAATGTGAATAATAACAATGATCACAACTGTAAAGAAAAGTACTTTTTCTATAAGTATTCTTTTCCAAATAAATGTATGGTAAATTTGAAATTGATAATTTATCTCTTTGATGACTAGTTAAATATTGATTAAGGTTAAAAGGTGTTGTTAAATTGGGGTGAGGATTGACTAGCTATATTTAAGGGAAAAGTCTTTTATAGTTAGAATTACACTTGAAAATTTTACTGATATTATTTCTTCTGTTCCCAGCTATAATGTGTTGTGTTGTATTATTTTCATTTTGTAGAATCTTGAAGATGAAGTATTCCTTAAAAGACACCAGAAGCCAGAGATTGAAGAGAAACGAAGAAAGAGGTATGTATATGTTATTAATCTTGAATTTCAAACCAGTGATTAATGACTGAAAACAGATGTTTTAATGAACTCAATTCATTTTATATTTCTTCGTAGATTGATATTTTTGGATGGTCCATATAGGTTGATTTTGTTTGCAACGTTTTAACAAACAAATGATTATATTTTCAATAATTAACCATATAACATGTCCATGTAATCATTTGAGAATTTTCATTATCATGATAGGGAACTGCTTATATGTAGGTAGTGCCATTCATTAGAAGACATAAAAGTATCTATTTTGCAAGAAAATAATATGAAAGAAAGAAAGAAATACGGGGTACCTTGTCCGAGGCCTGAAAATGTGTTATCTTGACAAAGTTACTCCAGCATCTTGTTCTTTTGTCTGGTAAAAACTGAATCATCATGTATATGTATCATCAGTCCTTCTTGATGTCTTTTAATTCTCCAGAATGAAACAAGGTGCAGATAGTTGATATTTTAGATCTGTGTCAAAGGCATTACAAATGAAATGTTCTGCACTACATTGTCTTGAACATTTAGATGGGATCTGCAAAGAATTCGGGAGCAGAAGATCTATGAGAAACTGAAAGAAAAGGAGCGAGGAGAGGTGTGCAGCAAAGACGACGGACAACAGTCAAACACTTTAGAATCTTTCTATCCAAGTCTAGATACAAGTATGTGTTTTGTGATTTGTGCATGTTAGAAACAGTCTGTATGCATGCAACTTACTTCAAGTTCTAAAACACATGAACAAAATTTCTTTGACATGAAATAGTTATGTACTAGGTACTCACTTTTAATGAACGAGGTATTCAAACCTAGGAATTTAGGGATGTGGGACTTCATGATATTCATCAAGGTTAAGAAATTTGTGTTCAGTGTCAGTAGTTCAGAAGTATCAGTAATATAGCTATAGCATTTAGATGTGTAGGTAAGTCAATGGATGTACAGCTTCTTGATGAATAGCCAGACTAGGAATATCAAACATTTATAACAGAATGATGTTATTTCAATGTTTCTTCATATATTTTGTACTTTGTTGTAGTCAAATCAGGGATGGTGTGATACAATTTGAAATCTTTTTTGTTTTATTTAACTGAAATCTCATATTAAAGGTTTTGTGAAAGATTTGCTGGATGCAAACGGTACTGGAAATTGTAGTTAGAATTTGTACTGTAATCGGTGTACTCTTTCCTTCCACAGTTACACACATAGAGGTGACAAACAAAATTCCTGTGATGGTGTTTGGACACCCTGTGCCAAATCTAGACAAAGAGTAAGTATACTAAAACATGCTGAAATATCAGGTCAACGCCAGTTTTTCCCCAAAAACCTCTGTTGAATGAGAACAATTTTCAGTGAAATATTTAAGTGTATGAAATGCACTCATAACTTTAGCTACAAAAGTGTTTTTAATATACAAGGGTCAAGTCCAGTAAAATAGTGTAGCTATCACGTAACTTTATTATTTACATGTATATTTGTTTGAAGTATGATCTTATCGATAGGACCATCAGAACAACTTTCAAGCATCTTAATATCTTATATTGAAATGAATATGTGCAAACAAATAGTTGTTCATTTCTGTTTTCATTTTTTCAGAGAATTTTCATTACCTTGGGAATTAGAAACAAGTGTTCGTTCCCATCCATCTCGATCTAGTCGAAATAGCCGCCACACATAGTTAAGAATGACTAAATCCCACCAGACTACCCTACCCACCAATCTCGACGAGTGACTGGTTTATCACCACAGAAGCTGTGCTTCAGATCAAACCAAGTTCACAAAAAAACTGTGAAGGGAAAACCAATATCATTGGAGCCTCTTCAGTGAAGCTTAGAAATTTTCAAGCCATGTAAGAGCATTGAAGGATTGTGGTTTAAAATTATATACAAAGTGTAGATCTTTTGTAAATTGATTGTATGGTCCAGTGGTAATATGAGCCACTGTCTTAGTGTCTTTTGCTCAAAAGGAATTACCTGAATCTGTTTCAAAAAGTTTGATTGGCAGTATGTTTTATGGTGTTGTAACATTTTATGGTTTATTTACATGTACAAGTTGAAACATTCTATGATTTCAATGTCAACACATAGATTTAACCATATATAATGCATCTTAAAACAGGCATAAAGTGAACAGGACTATGTATTGTCTATATGATCATCACTATCATACTGTGGAACCTGGCTTGCTGAACACTGAGAACTGTTCCTGATACAATGTAGATCTAGGCTCAGTGGGTCAAGTTAGCCTAAAAAGGAGGGTGGGGGCTCTTGTGTTCAAACTAAAACGGGTAATCCATAGTCACTTAAACGTAATTTTTTTTTATGAAAATGATCGGTATCTTAGTTCATTTTTTGAACATTTTTTCAGAATTTTGAATGTCTAGAGATGATTGTTTTCAATAGAAATAAGAAACATTGTTTGCCAATTTTTGGTGCCAAATGTTATATGAAAGCCTTGTGCAATGATACAGATTAAGTTGTTCATTTTACTCATACATAATGTATAAACATTGATCACCATAGTTAGCACACCACTTGTTCAAGGTATAGTTCACATTAATATTAGTGATGATCATATTAGCATCAGTGCCAACTAGGACATCGATATATGTAATGTGAATAGTACATTCATACTGGTAGGATTCCTCTTGCCACTGATATTTCACATAGGTATATTGCAGATGGTTTGTCGGGCTTGAAATGTAAGAAATATTAAAATCCACTTTGATAGTGCTGTTTCTGTCACACATAATTTTGTGTTCAAGAGTTTTACAGTTTCTGCTGAATGGAAATAAATGTACACTTTCTAGTAGAGCATCTTAGAATAGCAAGGGCAGTGGTCTTTATCGAGTGAATAACCAACTGTCTCTTCCTGATCAGTATTAGTGGTCAGCCCAACACGATATTTTGATATTGATTTAGAAATGAGTTACATAGTTATTGATATACGAGTTATGTTACTTTTTCTTTATTAACCAATGTGTGTTCTATAGATGATATGTTGTTTTCTTTTCCGTACATATGAAAGCTTTCAACTTGTGTTGCCTATAAAAGGTACTTTTCCAACTTTTGCTGAATGCAGAATGATAGTGTGAATTTCAATGCATTTCCATCATGACTGATTTAACAGTAGCATGTGTTAGATAAATACTATACCAAAGGATATGTGGTGAAATTGATAAATCTTAAATCACATAAGAGAGTCACCTGGTAGAAGTGGATAGATTTAATATTTTGACAGAGTAAACAGTGTTAAGCTTGATTTCGTGTGAATTGGTAAAAAAGGGAATGTCTAGGTAATGACTATGTTGTGGTTGTTGGTAGTGATCTCGACATTTTGAAGTATTTTTCTTTAGATATTTTGAAATAATTGTTTCGTATGACTGCTTTATATTATGTCAGTTGTCTAGTTGTGTATAATCATAATTGTTGAAGTTTGAAAGTATTTTAAATGTTTATATAAGAAAGTTTTAATTATTTATTTCAAGTGAGATAGAAGGTTTTAATCTGAATATTGTACAGTACAGAAACAGATTTGATGTGTCCCCATTTGTTTGTGTAGTCTATATATCTGATTTGGTGGTGAGAAATCTTAGAGAGATATCTGAACTTTCGACTGGTATAACTTTTTTTGTCAGTGACAGGATACATTTTATTGAAGTTTTATGGATATTATTTGTTAGTATTCAAATGATGAAAGTGTTTTGATGCATCATCACATATACTATAGATTTCATTTCAGAGTATGATTGGATTTCAACTTTTGTCCTGCTTGTTTTTGTATCTATGTCTTTATAGTTCACATCTAGGTTTTCAACTGTAAACTGTATTTAAATCTAGGTGTCCCATAATGCATGGTTCACTGGCCAGTAACTAAGTAATCTCTATGGGAGCGAGTGACTTGAGAAATGCTGGTGTTGTGTAAGAGAATTTTGTCGTGTGTGGTCATTATCATAAGATTTGTATCATTGAATATTGTTAATCTTTTCTGATTCTTACAGAGAACCCAAGAAAAAAGACGTATTGAAACTCAAACATATTTAGTATAAATAAATGATTGAATGATTTCCTGTTCAGTGTTTACACCCAATAACAAAGTTTTTTAATAAACAGCCGTGTGCTCTTTAGAAAATGGTTTATTACCATCCTATCTAAGGCTACGAAAGTATATATAGTTCGGTAGTGAATGTACAACATAGGAACACATTGATAATAGCTATAGTATGGAATGGGTCATGAGAGTTTGTGAATTGTATAAATCTGTTATTGTTCTGGACCAAGTGCTTTGCTTGTCATTGACAGTTGTCCACAAATACGAGATATTTACATACGAAAACAAATAAAACCAAAAATGTGATATTATTTGCTTTTTTCTTTTGTTCCACTATGCATTTTATGAATGATTTTTAAATTTGTATTAAAAAGGGATATTCATTCTTTTGTGCTTCTATGATAAAGAAAATACCAACTTGTCAACAGAATCTTCATTTAAACTTAAATTCATGAAAACTTGGGTAAAATATTGACAAAAGGAAGATTAACATGGAGAATCTGAAAAAATACAAGGTTGAATTTGTAAGAAAAAATGCCAGGTACAGATAGGGACCGAGACAGGAATGCGGAATAGATGGCACATGCAGTTTTAGGGGTCTAACCTTACCTGTCTGAAACTAATAAGCCGATTATCATTAGTTTTATGAATTTCAGCATAAAAATTGAGATTGGTGCACTGGCATGTTTTTGCTATGTGCTATAAAGTATAAGTAAAATTGATGGTATCTTTATTTTAGTTTTATGCTTGACGAGAAATTTCCAAAACTGCATTTTCAACTTTACATATATTGGGTCCGAAATCTGGTACAAGTGCACTTGCATTTAGTGGAACAATTCCAGACCATCTGAACCATTTAAACTGGGTTACGAGAATGCAGTCTAAGTTTACCTTGGTAGCCTCAAGATTTACAACACTTCAGGCTGTTAATATCACTGACGAATCAGTCTTTGAATGATGAAACAGCTGTATGCAGTTTAGTAGATCATTTTGCTCTGTTTATGTTTACTTCATACAGCCCTCCATACACCTGCTACAGATTCTTTGCTTGCTTTATTATACAATACTGACTTCTTCACCTCTTACTTTATGCGGTGGCTTCCATCATCCATCATTAACTCTGGTCTTCAAATAACTTCTCAATTAGATTTCTACCTGTTCAGTAGTATGTAGGGATCCAGAGCTATAAAGTTTGTGAATGACTTCTGGTTACTTGCAAGTTTACCATAGGGAAATGTGAAATCTTAGCAAAATTCTTTAGAACAGACCATCAGTAACAGGCATTTTTCATTACCTGTGAATTAAGTTATTTATGATCTTCAGCTGAAGCGTGTGTTGATAAAAGTAGAAAATTGATCAAATACCTATCGTTCTTTAAGTTGTGAATATCTTGACATTATGAAATAAAGATAACACAAGTCTGATGACAAGGTACGTGACTACTGGTTGAGGTCAAAATGGATTTTTTTAGTGGTATGCATTTTAAGACTCACGAAGACTGTGATAAAAAGTAAATGAGTTAAAACATGATCAAACGTCTTAGCAAGATTTCTATTTAAACTAGTAAACAATAGAAATAAGACCATGTAAAAAAGATTATTGAAATTAAATGTGGAGCCACATGTTTACATAGGTCAAGGTTATGGGTCAAATTAACAGGTGAAGAGGAAATCTGCCATGCTAACTGAAATAAATGAGGCCCAGTTTGCCTAGGACTCTAACTAATTTAAACCAGCTTGGAAAACAAAGGCCTTTCTTGGATCACCTGATATTGGATATTTTTCACAAATACATATAGATCTCTCATCATTGACCTTCAAAGTGGGTCTAAGCCAATTTGACACCAGTGACCTTGAATAAGTGACAAAACCTTTCTTTTCACAAATTTTGTTGGACTTCATCCAACCGAATGTAACGACTCTTATTTTACTAACATATCTTGTATTGGGAAAAGGCGATAATCACATTGCAAGGACAAAGGAAGTCACACCACAACATTTACTTGTCCTTCAGGCTAAAAATCACTCTTAATGAAAGTTTATATAGTTGATAATAATAAAACTAGCAGCTGATGTCCATGGGAAAAGACTGCTTTTGTCAGGAAAGCTTCTGATTAATTTAATCACACAAGAAATGCAACATCTGGATTTGAAACTATGACTGTAATTCACAGGTAAGAAACTATAAGTCGTAATTAAATCTCACAGGAGAAATGTGTACCAAGTAGTACATAACAGATCTAGCTAAAGGCTACAAATGTATTTTCTTTTTGCATTATGACTTCCAATTAAGTCGGTTTCTACAGGATTGCCTTGATACATTCTCGATCACAAGAGAATGAAATGACATAATTTTGGCCTATGTTACTTCCAACACTTTGCACATCACCTCCACCAACACACAGTGCAGCTTTATGTTAAATTATTCAGGTGATTTTCAAGGGCCAATGGCATGCTGGGATGAAGGCTGCTATGTTTATCAAAAAGAATGACCTAGACACACTTTCAAAGTCACAGAGGTCAAATGTGTCAAAATCGGCATACAATGGATTATCTCTTTCCAACAAAATATGAACAGTTTGTGTTACTGTTGCAGACAAGAGACCCATAGGGCTAGTAATGCTCATCTGGTTTGGTGTGGCTGAAATTGCACCATCTAAAGTAGTATTTTAATGAATGATATCTGTTTCCCCTATTGAGTCATTCTCCTTCTGCACCAAAAAGTTCAGAGCAATGGAGTCCCAGTTTATTTCAAGTAATTGTTGATGGACATCACAGTATGGCATCAACTCACCAGACCAGGCGAACTGAAAAATATGCTATTAAATTTTATCTAGTGACACTGTGTATTTCATGTCTTTTCATTATCTAATTGCATTTTGTAGTATAAATGGGAATTAATTCAGTAATATTACTGATTTATTGTTATCAGAAGTTCAAACAAATAAGTGACATAGAAATGAAAAAACGAAAAGCATAACTTAGAATAGGTGGCATCACCCATTCATATCTAAGGTAGAATTTCAATATGCAAGTCTAAGTGACCTACATTTGGCAAATGACACACTGCCCCACTTACCTACAAATAGGTGAATCAATGCCCCAGAAGTTTTGATGACAGTGAATGAGAATTAGCACTCACATTTTCTTTGATATAGGTCAAAGGTCAAATTGGCCTACTCTCCAGGCATGACACTACCTCACCTAGGTAAACCCATGTCACAAATAGAAAGTCTAATGACAGGTAGTAGAGGAGAGAGGGCAAGATACACTTTATATGCATAAATGGGGTATGATATTTGGTATGAAATTTACCAGAATAATATCAAATTTGTGTCTGCTTGGTTATGGTTTTATTGTTCATACTTTACAGTGTTGTAATTAACATTGATGGCAGATTAATATTATCGTCAATGTAGAAGTATGTAGGATTTCTGGAAATATTTTGAATGAAGATTAAAAAAAATCATGGACTTTTCCCCCAATGTTCTTGATGTATGTACACAAGATAGAATCACTGGTACAAAACCGCACAGTACATAACAGTCTACATTTGTGATGGAGTGTCACAGTTCTTCGGTGTGTACTGTGAGTGGCTTAATGTGTCTGTAAAAATCTGAAACTGTGAAGTTTGTAGGTATCTACATTGAACTACTTTAATACTTGATAATTTGGTGGGGATTTACAAAAAATGGGATTCAGTTCAACAACAACAACAAATGTATTTATTTATCAGCTTTATTAGTACTGTATACAGACAGACCTTCCCTCCTTACTCCTACTCAACCACACTCCAACCATCCATCCATCTATCTATCTGTCCACCCATTCATCCATCCACCTACTTATCCACCTACCGATCCATCCATCCATCCAACCAGTATTAAGACCTTCATATTATGAGCGGACAGAATTTCTCCCATCATGTTCCAGTACCTGAACACAAAATATCTATTTCTTTGACTGGGGTATAATCATAAAAGTAAATTTGTAGAAATATAAATTAATATTCAATTATGAACACAAATCTTATTTCTTTTTCTCACATACATGACTGTATATACTGAATAGTTGTAAACTGATTTGGCAGTGTCAGAGATTATTACAAAATCTCACTTTCTTTCTTCATTGACAAAACTGGATAATCATAAAGTAATTTAGCAGTGTCAGATATCTTCCAACTAAAAAACAAATCTTGTTTCTTTTCTTCTGGAAGATATCACGATGGTACTCAAGCCAATGACTTACGTAGACTGAAGATGAGGTAAATCAGGCATACCTTTTTTGTACATGACTGCAGGTATCTTAAAGTTGAACATAAAATCTTATTTTTTTTATTCATATATGAGTACTTGAATCATACAGAGGTGAAATATCCATAAAATTCAAATGAAATAAAGCCCTTCCCATACAAATGTTAAAAAATAAGTGTTTGCATGTCAAAGTACCTCAAAACTAAAGAGTACACTAGTAAACTCTAAGTTTCATGTGATTTACTCTTATGATCAGTTATAACTGATCAGACCAGAATGCTCTGTGGTAGATACATTTTGATCTTCAAAGCTCCCTATAATATACTATTTTAACTGCTAGAGTTATACTGGAAGCTCTTCAAATGGTTATCCGCTCCTCCTGATAACATCAAAGTAGGTAATGACCAATCCACACAAAGGATTTTCTCATCATGACCACTCATTTCGAACAAAGGTACTTTCGGACTGAAAAAAAAGGGAGAACCATTCACAAAACTCTAATGAAAATACAAATATGTTAAAAGTACATAATGTTAACATACTTTATTAGGCATAACCAATGTTTAGCACAATATCATTGGCAAATTAGCACCATGAAAAATGTGTTAATTCACATAATTATGCTAAACAATACATGTATACAGGGTTATCTCGGGGAGACAATTAAGCTAAACAATACATGTATACAGGGTTATCTCAAGGAGACAATTAAGCTAAACAATACATATATACAGGGTTATCTCGGGGAGACAATTAAGCTAAACAATACATGTATACAGGGTTATCTCACAGAGACAATTAAGCTAAACAATACATGTATATAGGGTTACCTCGGGGAGACAATTAAGCTAAATAATACATGTATACAGGGTTACCTAGGGGAGAAAATTAAGCTAAACAATACATATATACAGGGTTATCTCGGGGAGACAATTAAGCTAAACAATACATGTACACAGGGTTATCTCGGGGAGATAATTAAGGTAAACAATACATGTATACAGGGTTATCTCGGGGAGATATTTAAGGTAAACAATACATGTACACAGGGTTATCTCGGGGAGATAATTAAGGTATACAATACATATATACAGGGTTATCTCGGGGAGATATTTAAGGTAAACAATACATGTACACAGGGTTATCTCGGGGAGATAATTAAGGTAAACAATACATGTACACAGGGTTATCTCGGGGAGATAATTAAGGTAAACAATACATGTACACAGGGTTATCTCGGGGAGATATTTAAGGTAAACAATACATGTACACAGGGTTATCTCGGGGAGATATTTAAGGTAAACAATACATGTACACAAGGTTATCTCGAGTATTTCAATTATAGGGTAATATACCCTATAATAAGCCATCCAAACATACACCTGTCTTCAAACTTTCGAATTGCTGTTGATTTAGTGTATATTTGAAAATTTTGTAGATAAAGTACTCTATATTTATCCTATCATGTTGGACTGTTCCAAATCGTCCTTCATCAGTGTTCTGTCTTCCATCCATCCATTCTTTAATACTTTTTTTCCCATAGTTATTTCTATGAAGTGCAGGACGGATCTTTATCTAAATTCAAATTCAAACTACCCTTAATTCCTAGTTGTGCATAATCAACTTGCAGATTGATTACAAAAACAAACTGGTTGCCAGTCATCTTGGATTTTGACATTTGAAATTTCATGTTGCTTTTTCTTAATTGGTTAGCATTCTGTGAATCATTCCCAAATTTTATATGTAGACTCCCAAGTTCAATAGTTGTGCATGATAACTTTTGGGACTAAGCAGAAAAACAATATAGCTTATATAAATGTATAGCCATTTTGATTTCAACATCTGAAATATGTATTTGCTCTATCTTGGGAACAGTACAAATTTGTAGACTATGCCTAACGGGCAAAGGCCTTTTGGTATAACCTTTAGAGAAAGCACTCTCCAACTGTTCTATAATATCAGTGGTCAATTTTGTTCAAAAAGTTTGTAAGTACACCTATAGGGATTGTGGAACTAACTATTGGATATTTTTGATTGGTTCTACATTGGTTGGATATCCCAATCTCTTCTATGATGTCCTCATTTTGCCCAGTTGTTTGCTGCTTTGCTTTTTACATCTATCCCAGTAAAGAACACGCTAATCAATCAACAAGAGGATTTGACATATTTGTGATAAAGTTTGAGACCGTTACTGTATAATGTTTTTCAGACATGGATATGAACTGACATTTACTATAATATTGAATAACACATTCAATGTTATAAGCTGAATTATCATACACAGATAACTCTGCTGCTAGGTGAATTTCAAAACTTTTTGGACAAAACTGGTTGAAAACGGTCTCTTTTTTTTTTGTACAGAACAATCTACCATTACCATGCCAAGGCATGCCTTCATATCAACCTTAGTAGGTCCTGATCAGCAGCACATAATATGTCCCCTTATCAAATAAATGGTAACATATAAAATGTGTATGGTCAGGAATTTTTGTTTTTTGTATTTTTGTTTTCCTTTTTAAAAATGAGATTAGTTGAGAGAGGATTTTAAGGAAAACCCAAACTGATATTCCTTTTTAAAATGACAATATTTTGGAGAACTTGTGAAGAATTCTTACCTTCTTGTATCCCACATTTTCATGATTTTGTCATAAGACCCAGATATAAAATGATTTTCATTTTCTTTGGACCAATCAACACTTGAAACCCAGCCATTGTGTGAGGTAAAGGTACACTTTACTACTGATCCTTCTGTAACAAGAAACATTGACAGATTTTGAACATTACTTGTACACAAATGAACCAAACACCACAGTGTAACAAGAGTTCCCAATGGCCCAACATTGCTCACCTCTTTAGAAAATAAATTGTTTTTAAATTAAAATACATTTGCCCTTCCTGTATTTCAGAGCAGGTAAAGGTCATTCTTTTGAACAAAGTGGAAAGGTTTTGCCCGGGCATGCTACTAGTACTATCCAAAGATCTCGACTAAGTCTTCTGTTTATCAAGAGGACACAGACAAATGGCAGATAGAAGATGCTATGTCATTACTTAAAATCACAGGCAGGAAACAAAATAGAGGTCTAGATACAAATAACATGTTAGCCTAAGAACCTGACCCTTCAACAAGGTGTAGGGGTGAAACAACTGTATCATTATCCACTTAATAGAGAAAATTTATTCTGTAACCAAATATAGACATCATAATGTAAGAAAACTTTGTTAGTATTACTTACCTGAACTCCTAGGATCCCAAAGCCTTACATGTCGGTCTGCAGAGGCTGTTAGAACTTGGCAGTTCAGTTTAGAGTATGACATGTCCAGAAATACTTTGGAACCTGGCTGTATGGCAAGAGAAATATTTAAAATACAGTGAACAAAACACAAAAGGGCAGTCTCTCATATTTAACTATGATATATATCAGTTGAGGAATGTTAGTTAGTACAAATTCTAACAAATTCCAAACTTGTGTCAAATAATACCTAAAACATACTAATCATTCTTTTAAAGGTAATTATATAAACGTCTCCTGGATATCTGGTCGCAATGTGAAACTGAGGAATAGCCCGCATGTAGAAACATCAGGGTCAAATGGGTAAGCAATTCTTCGATGTTCACAAGATATGTGAAGGTCAAATTTGTTTTAAATCATTTTGATAGTCAGAAAGTAACTACAAAACTAGCAATGGATATTCAGCAAAGTTTAGTCACTGTGTCAAAAATATAGGGCATTTTTGTGTAAAATTAAAGGAGAATAAACAAGATGTTTTTAAGAAGCACTATGCCCTAGTTACAACAAAATTCTAAAGAAGGACATTAAAACTGCACTGTGAAAGGCATGTTCTAATTGCAAGCACACTTTTTGAAACAAGTTCATAGGGTATAATTCTGTCAAATATAAAAGCAGACCTCTTAAAGTGCAATAATAAAGGCCAATGTTTAAGTTTATCAAATGTAGATCATAGGTCATGGTCAAGGTCACATGGTCCAAAATTTTGATACCAACAAAAAGATCTTGTCACAAGAAACACACATACAAAATATGAAAGCCATACCTCTTACGATGCAATAGTAATGGCCAATGTTAAAATTTTTTTAAAAGTAGGTCAAAGGTCATGGTCAATGTCATGGGGGCAAAAATTTTCATACCACTGGAAAGGTCTTGTCACAAGGAACAAATTTGTAAAATATGAAAGCCCCACCTCTTAAGATGCAATAGTTATGGGCAAGGCTAAAGTAACATGCCCCAGCACTTTCGATCCAGGGGTATAAATAATGATGTGGCGGATTTCTGATTTGAGGGGCCCCAAGTCCCCTAGCTTCCTCAGTATTCTTCCTGCATATGCAGTAGTGTTAAACCTCACCAGTAATGACTTCTGCTTTGCCTCATTCATGTCCCATAGCCTAATTGTATGGTCCCATGATACTGTGCATACAGTTGAATTGTCCAGCCACTCCATCCCTGATACTCCCTCTGTGTGACCTTCTAACGTCAACATAGGGACCTAAAACACAATACGTCTCAAGTTAAGATGCATCGTTAATTATTACCATCATTCGCAAGAAATTCATACAGTCAAGTAAACTATTTCAAATTTTTAAATGTGTTACACAGCACACCTAAATAAAATGTCACTCAATCATCACCTGTAACTCTTCAAAGTTCATGACTTCACATACCCTTGTTTGGCGTGATTTTCCATCTGTTTTCTTTTTCTTTTTGGGTGTTTCCATACTTTCATCTTCCTCATCATTAACATCTCCATTACTTGTTAGCTCTGAAAGAACACAAGACTTAGAAACAGGTTTCACTAGTACTCAGTTTCAAAACAGTGATTTGCAAAAGCTATCTTTTTTGAGGGGATCTATTTTTCATCAATTTTGAAATAAGATGAGGTTAAACAGTGAGCAATAGCTAGCCTTAAAATAAAATTATTAAAATAAACAAGAATCTGTTTGATGACGTTCAGGATGTAAACTTTTTCTGTAGTGCATTGTACTGCTGCTATTGGCAGGACATTCCATTGTAATACTGTAAATGTCTCATTTATGTTAGTGCGGTATCTCAACAGTGAAGAGAATAGTTGAAAGGTTGATACCTACAGAACAGTGTACTATTTTATATACAGCAAACAGGGAGATTTTCACAGTAGATTTACTTGTGATCATTTCTGTTTTTTGCCAATAGGATGAATAAAAGGTGGGCCAATGTTTCATGTTATAGTTGAAATAGGCATTCAAATCTGGATACCAAGCTTACATCAATCATCATTATAAATCTTAATATTTCAAGTACTAGCTTCATAATACTGAACATATTTTCTATGTACTGAGGACTACATCAACAAGGTTTGATGGTACTGAACTGACCTGCAGACCACAACTTCAACCTCCCGTCCCATGATCCACTGGAAAACTAAACATATCACATGGTTATGAAAAGAAAGCAAACAAAATCAGATTTGGAAAACATCTCAACAGTATACATATACATCTCAAATCCAATGTTTCTTTCCCAAAATATGTCAATGTATAACAGTAATCACATACTCAACGTCGAACCTTGTTATCTTGAACTTGTCTAACTTGAAGGCCTAGTTTAATTCGAAGAATTTTGTCAGCACTGTCCAAATTTACACACAACATTCATATTCACTTAAACTAAATACTTGGTTTCCCCATGGTCCTCCTGAGTTTTAAGATAACAAGGTTAGACTGTATTTTGGCACAATGAAATTTTAGTAATTTAAACACATAAGACTAATTCAGCATCTGCAACACATATTCAGTCAAATATCTTGTCACTTACGCTTTAATAATCCACATAATAATACCAATACCAGTAATAATACCAATTATATTTTCTCGAATAATGGACTGCACTTCTATTCTTCAGACAGACACATGATACAGATATTCATTACAAACAGGATTTACATTGTATTTACCATGGTCTTTGATAAGTTGACTGCCAAACAGTCAACACTCCCAGCATGTCCACGACAAACATTGATACAATCCACTGTACCTGTCTCACTATTCCAGGACCACATCAATATTGTCTGGTCATGTGATCCAGATATAAAGGTACTGATTGGTGTGTCATCTTCAAGCAAAGGAAAAACAATTAAATTGTGATATTTGAAACATATAGATTTTGATCTAGCATAATAAACATCTTGACCTTCAGGTAAAGTTGAAAGTAAAGAAAAAGCTGACAAAGTATATGAAATTTAATTTTTGTGACAAAATAAATCATTGGATTGACACTGGTATACTGAATGTTATACTATGTAAGTTATCGCTAGAAAAATTAAAACTAATTCAATTTCAGTATACAACATTATTTTTCTATCTCAAGAGCTATTCACAAAACAAAAGAAAATGTGTAAGACATATACCCCTAATACAGCAAAATCTGTACAGACTGACAGATGTAGAGCACTTTGGTAGTTCCATTTAGGCATTATTTGCAATTGATGTGGTACCAATATTAGCTACATTTTTATTTATTAGCTACATTTTTTACTTGTATCTTTTTTTATTGCATTTTAATTTTAAATTTTAATTTTGCATAGTCACCCCCCCAAAATAACCAAATAGAAAAATAATTTATTAAATCATTGGCATAGTTCAAATACTAACACTTCAATTTCTTTGATAACTTTTACTCGCCCAGCAATTTGAATTTGTATTCTAAAACCAAGAAGATCACAAGAATTCTTTTATTTTTGAAAATAACGATGAAAAACAGCTTTCATACCATCATTAGCTGGAGTTATATCTCCAGGATACCTTAATTAATTTTTTTTCCAGTTAGATAAATTATGTCTATTTTATCCAAAAAAATGTAACATGGGAAGAGCTTTGCCCAAATGACATCCATTCCTTACTCTACAATCTTCAGTGATAATTACCTGTGTTAATCCACTCCACAGCCTTGACAGGTGATGTGTGGCCAGGAAAGGTCATCCTCAATGTCATTTCATTTCCTGTCTTTGTCCAAATATGAATGGTGTTGTCGTAACAACCAGAGAGTATCCTTCATACAAAATAAAACAATGTACATATCTAAATGGTGTCAGCAAAAAGAGGGAATTATTACGACACCCTAGAAAACACATGGACTTTGTGTCTGCTTGAATTCAGATTACCATTGCTTTGTTTAAGAGCGTTCTCATTAGAGTGTCTACATCCAATACTTATCATGCTTCATGAATGGCCAAAATGTTTGTCTTTTGTAATGAGAATGGAAATTAAAACAAGTGTTTAAGAACAATTTCCATTTGAACACTGGTCAGGTTAAGCTAACCTAGTACAGCAGTTCAATATGCGAAAGATATTATTAAGAATTTGCTTCATTTTCCCTATGGGCCTCTCTCATCTCTTGGTTGAGACCCACCATTTATACAAATTTGTTCCCTTCACCAATGATGCTTCTGACCAAAATTGACAACCAGGGTCATGTCATTTTGGTGGTGAGGGGGAGGGTAGGTGGTGGTGGGGTTCTTCATTTGACTCAACCACTGTGTGCCAGAGGGTAAGCAATCTATCAATGATATTGTTAATTTGAAACACCTACCCGCTGTTACTACCCCTTACACAGCTAACCCAGTCATTGTGTAACATGGTATCCTCTGGTTTTGGTGATGGGTGTCGTTGCATGTACTCAACCATTAAAGTCTCTTCCTGTGAAGAACACAAAAAGTAGAACATGATGATTTTATAACAGTCAAATTGTCCGAATAACTTCAGAAATCTTAACACATGATAATCGCAACCAGGTATGACTCATTTGTTTGCATTTGCTCAATATATATAAATAGTTAAATATGTTTGACCATATAGCTGAATGGTCTGTATAGCCAGCTTTGCCGGTTCTCCAGTAACTGTTAAACAAGAGGCCCAGGGACATAAATGGTCACCTGAGTGAACTCACAATTGGAAACCATTTGAATGTATGTCTAGTATGGAGAAGAGAAAATGATATTTGTGAAAAGACAGATGATTTTACCATAAGACCCTTCCATCCATGATGGGTATATTTGTGGCTCAGCAAGGGTCAATATGTGCATAATATCAAACTGTCATCCTATACTAACCATTCTTACCAAGTTTGATTTATACTATTTCCAATACAAAATATACAAATAATGCTCAAACATACCTGATGTAATTTATATAATTTTCCTATATAAACTATAGTAGAGTTTACCCCTTCTCCAGTAGGTTCTGAACTGAATTTACTTTTTAGTTTCGCAAATGTAACAACAAGAGGCCCAAGGGTCATAACTGTCATCTGACTATAAAGACCTATATATGAAAGAGGTCAAATACACCTAAAATAAATTGCTCAACTACAACTTACATAGAAGACATTGTTGCTTCATTAAAACATCAAATCTGTGTCTACGCACCAAAAACTAGCTTTACAGGAAGTGAAATTTTCATAGTGTTTACATGTGGTCATGTTGTGAAGGATTTCAGCATTGGAATTTGCTGAAATGTAAGTAATTTGCTACCATGACAATGTTGTTGATTTTAAGATAGGTGTTCAGAAATAAATTTCTTCTGTAAAGTTGTAGTGTCAGGTTGGAATTAGCAGTATTTTTCATTTTTAGCATTTTTTCAGTTGGTAACCATGGCAATCACATGTCCAAAATCAGAGGAAATTTTTTATTTACACAAATTTTGTCTCTCTACTATTAATGTAAATGTTATGTAGTTTATAAATATATAAACATGTAAGGATATATTTTTCATAACCAAACTGCTATACCTGTATATCTCAAACATGACCAATAATTTCAGGAATAATGCAAATCAACAGTTTCCTTCTACCTAAGTCCCTAGGGGTTGACTCATCGTTCGGAATCTAAGAAATGATTCTCTATCCTCAATGATATTCCACACCAAATTTGATTAAAATTCATTTCAGCATTAAGAAAACATAGCATTTTGAATCAAAATATTGACTGCCTCTACCATTTGGCACTCCGCCAACCCCCAGGTTCCCAGAGACCAAATCAACTTATTTAAACTTAATTAAAGAACCCAACTGATTAATCAAGCCAAAGCTTGTTGATGAATCCAACCAGGTAGAAAGGAGGAGTAGGGTTTTAAATCTAATTTCAACATCTCCCCCTTTGGCGCCCTATCCCTCGACTCCAAGGGGTCAAATCAAAATTCTGAATTGAGGAAATGATTATGCTTATCCAATAATGCATCCGACTATCCATCCAGCTATGAAAGAGGAGTAGGAATTCAAAGAAAAAGTTTAAGCATATCACACGACAACAGACGAAGCACAATGGCTATAGGTCATCTTGACCTTTCAGGCCAGATGACCTAACAAGCAGTCAATACAAACAAACAAAAAAAAAATTAGTTTCAATTTAAACTGGAATTGTTATGACTTGCTATACACACACACAAATTCAGTACTTTTTAATTTATGTCAGTCAGTGTTTACTTACTTAAATAAAATCATGTGGATTTGTCATTTGTAATGATAGCATGGCGTTTATTGCTGGCCACCATTTTGTTTTTCTATAATTTCTATCACACATGTACATATGTAAACAGAAAATCTGTACCGTAGACAGGTCTTTTGCCTCTAGGTGTTTGCTGAGTGTGATCCGAAGGAATTCTCCATTGATAAGGAAATCAAAATCCACATGGGCTGTTTCTTCACTCCCATCTACAATATTTATCAAAAATTACTGATATCTATCAAAGCAGAAACATTCAAGTGTTAATTCATCATTTCCTGTAATGGTAATGTTAGTATGATCATAATATAATTTATCAGTGTATAGTAGTTTGTTATTTTTTATATTACTGGGCGAATTGGGAATAAGAAATGCAAAATTGTAGCCTTTTTGTCTGTCCTACTGTGAGAATACAAATTCTAATACTTATTCCTTATTCCAATTTCTAGGATAAAAAAAGGAATAAGTATGTAGAATCTTTTAACTTATTCACACTTCCAGGATGAAAAGGGAATAAGTATATTGATTTCCCCCCTTATTCCTGTTTCCAGGATAAAAAGAGAAAAAAAGGTACATTGTTTTTGTTTTGTATTTACTTTTTTATGAATGTTCTTCATTTTCCAACTGAAGCTTTATTTAAACATCAAGTAAAAATTATCTTAATCAAAAGTCAAATCAATGGATGACTGTTCCCATCAAAGTCCTTAAAACTCTACCCACACTAAGAAGAAAAATTAAGAACAAAATGGTTTGCAACAATCATTGGTACTTTGTAAGAGTACATATATGTATGGATTCAGTTTAAGACTTAATACATTTAATACTGAGGGGTAGATCAGGATTAATATGTAGTAGTTTCAATCTACGAAGTAATGAATATATCTTGAATATAAAATTTACAGTAAATTGACCAAGATTTTCATGGCAGGTGTCATCAATAAAGCAGAAGATGCTTACTCTTCTGGAACACCTGGTCTTATTCTCCTTCTACTTTTTCAGGAAACTCCATGTAAATCTTTCTTTTGTTCATATTTTGTCCTAGTTTTATTGAATCTGAGTTTGGATTATGATTATGTTGACATGTTGGTATTTTCATATTTGTTGGAATTATCTTTGAGTCATATCTTTGCTATCCTATTTCATAATCACTGAAAGTTGCAACCAATTTTTCCATACTGACTGTCTTAATTTTTTTATAAGGCAGCTTTCCAGAATCAAACATGTGGTATTGTGCATATGAATTTACCTTGTAGGATACTGTTAATGAGGGCACTAAGCTCCTTTGTTCCGACATCAGCTGGTACAGCAAATGGAGTTGAGGGAACACTGTACCTGTAACCATAAATATACAAATGTGAACTGGAATAAAACTGTTAAAATCCTATGCTCCATCATTTTCCTTGTTGGTTCAATCAATATCAATTTTATACACAAGTTATCACTCATTTTTGGAAATATGTGTATACATACATTATTTGTGAAGGAGAGGTAGTATAAAAGTTGGAAGTCTCGAATTTCCCTTTAGTCAAACAATCAAGAAGATATAGGATAGGGTATATATTAGGGTGCAGAGTGTTTGCTTTGAGGACAGGGCCAGAAAGTGATGGGTATCAGTTAAAAGGTCAAGCGGATCTGAATGGAATCAATATGGGGAAAAAGTATTATTTATAACTGCATTAACTATATTTCACACATAAAATGTCTGGTTCCTATGAATAAATCTATGTATGTTGTGGTTATCAGGTTTCCCGATGCCACTGGTGGGATTCAAACTAGCAACCTCTTGGTCTCCAGCCGGACACTCTATCACTCAATTAAAGGGAAGATTCACTGAAGCTAGTATGGCAGTCTGTACTCTCAACTTCTATGCTTATATTTGAGAGATATTTCTGTTTTGAGTAATAAATGTTTTCTCAAAAGTTGGACTATCATAATTACCCACAAGAGGGATTTAATTTTGTCCAAATCTTATCGACAGAAGGATCTACAGATGAAACTTGTATGAGAATAAATATCACAGCAGAGATAATTATTGTCACGATACATACGCTGATTTGGTGAAGAACCGCACTTGCACGTGTGATTTGTTGGCCGCCATGTTGTATGTCTTTTCGGACATCCTCGATCACCGTCGTCGCAACGATCGGAAAGACCTAACTGTACTTCGGCGCGTTCGCTTGGAATGATGTAAATCAAAGTTGTAAAATTGCATTAATACAGGTACTAACGGAGACTGGTGCAGTCAGGGATCCATATCTTAAAACAAATTCATTATTACAGCCTTACTTTCTATTACCAGGTGTACCAGTCAGTAACAGTGTCTGTATTAATGCTATAATGCAACTTTAATTTACATTCCTGACCATAACGGTTAACATCGGTACCTGTAACGGGGGAAAAATGAAAAGCTATCCAATGGAACACTTCTCAAATATTTGATGCATCTTTTTAATTTTGTAAACAAGTAAATATTAACTATTCTAAACAAAAAATAAGGTATCTATTAATTATGATTGCATTTTTAACGGTTCGTGTCTTCTATTCTGGTAATCATCTCTATTTAAGATTGAAAAAATAAAATTGTAAAAAAAAAAAAAAAATCCCGAGAAATGATGCCATGCAACCACACAAATATTCTATCATGTTTTTAATTAATGAAAGGTATTGTTGATATTAATATTTTCGACAGATAGATGACTGAGATGAATGAGAAAGTTAGTGAACTTTTTACCAAACGAAAAAAATATTTTCAAGTTTATCCTGCAATTGACAGTGCCGTTGTCGGAATACGTCTGTCACATGTATTTTTGCTGTATTCGAAAGTGACGGAAAACAGCAATCTCTACCAGAGTTGTCGTTCCTTAACATTCATACCACAATGTACTACTGGAGAGATTGAGAAAACAACTGTATTTAATTAAGCACGTGCGTGACTTCGGCGATTTTTTTAAAAAGTCTGAATCGGGACAGAAAGACCCGTATTTATCCTGCAACTGGCACTACATATATTTTTGTTGTATTCAGAAGTGACGGAAAACCGTGAGCTGTATTTTAGCACGCGTGGTAATTCGATAGAATTACTATCTAAATATACATAGATATTACGTCTAAAAATATAAATAGTTCTTGAAATAAGCGATTTTACATGTTTTAATGAACAGTTGATTTATGAAAAGTCATATAATCGGTGTTATATCCGATGAAGTTTAGACGAGGCGTTTAGGAGAGGGAAAGTGATCGTAACCTTTGCGATATCGAGGATGCCAATATAGAACATGACGAGAAATGATGTTTGGTTGTTGCTCTATGGCTCACGATGTCGTTAGATCATCTGAGCACTTTTTTTGTGTGACATCTGACCTGCCAATGTATATTCCAAAGCTTGATTTCCATGTGATTAATGATTATGTGTTACTAATTAAGGCGACTCTCGAGTATAGAACAGACTGGGAATGAACGTTTGCCGTGGTCTAAAGAATCATATTGTGGCTCTTTTGACTTGAAGCCATTTTTGAGTGGTTTTTGGCCTGTCAATGTATAGGCAAACGTTTTATTTCGACGGAAAGGAGAAAAAAAAATTCAATTGAACAATTTCATTTGACTCACCAATAAAAAGAATTGTCTGATAAAGTCGTGGCTCAAATGGTTAAATTTTTTACTCCAACCTTTGACAGAGTTCAACATTTGCGTCTCATTAGCTGCTTTCATACAGCTTGTCACATAAAAAAAGTTCACAGTGAATGGAGTGAATTCAGAGAGTACAATCGTTACTTCCGTGATGCTATACAAATCTCTTGTTCGTTTCTGTTCTCGTTGTGGTTCAATGAGTTCTGGTATCTATCTCACAAAGGATGTGGATTCAACAATTTCGGGAATCATTTTTTTTTTCAAAGCTTCGATAAGTTTGTGATTTGTTACTCAGGGTTTGTTATATTTGCGAAGGGCTCGGTTCGATTCGATTTGTCAGACGTTTAACTCTAGCTTCTGATGAGCTTCGCCTTGTCCACCATTTATGAATCATATATAGAAGCTGGCCCGCGCCAATGTTCTGTAGCTGAAAAGGCTTCCAACCCTTGCTTAGTTATCAATAATATCCATCCCCTACACCCAATAGAACCTACATTTGGGGACCTCGGTAGTCACGTGGTTAAGACCTCTGAGCGTCTTTATCACTAGCCCTCCACCTTTTGGTCGAGGCCTACGTGGGATAGTCGCCAGGTACTGACCCCCTGGCTACTGGATTTTCTCCGGGAACTCCGGTTTTCCTCCACCAACCAAACCTGCCACGTTCTTAAATGAACATGGCTGTTAATATAAACAAGAACCTAAATTAGACATATGTTAAGCAGCACAGAGAAAAAGCTTCATGACACATATGGAGATGTATGTAGAGATGTGGTCCTGACAACCTCCGGTTTTAAGGAAGCTTTGTTGTTCATGTTCAATAAAACCGTTAATTAGTAACAATGATAACGGCCACATATAAAGAACGTAACAGATCCCGCGGTATGATAGTAGTACAGTTTCTCTCATTCCATACGGTCTGAGATACAACGTTACCGTCGTCTTCAGTGATAGGGTTCTGTCAGTGATGTCTCCTTCATGCAAAACTTGAATGAGGGTGGAAATGATTGAGTTTATATGTACCAGTATTGCATTTTGACAATATCGCAAGAAAAAAAGATATGTCACCAGTCTAGATAATTACGCGGAAACTGAGAATGCAAATAGAGAGTGTTAAAAAGTTTACATAAAGAATATTATATTTAAAAAATAGTGCACAACATATAAAATATAAATATAACAATCTAGATAACTTCCATATGGCTCCGAAACGCGGAAACTGAAACTGACAATATACATACATCATTTATTGGTTAAGAAAAAAACACATTATAATCAATATTAAAAGTTAAAAAGGATAAAGCATTTGTCATAATATGAATGTTTGTCTAGATAACCATAACATATGCGGAAACAGAGAGTAGAAATATACATGCATACCTTACATACATTAGGAATGCATGACAGATATAACTGTAAACAAAAGTTCATTAAAAACATGAAACCAATATACCGATAAAGAATGTATGTTATCTGAAATGACTGTTGCAGACTAAAAATCTAAGAATTGTTACACATTTCCCGAGTTTGCATGCCACTGAAATTATTTTCTGATCTTTTTAAGGGTTATTGATTTTTCATATCTTGTTCTTTCCCTTGTCCGGAATTTTTGCCGCAAGCTTGTTTTGGCTTTTGACAGATCAAGTTCGAACAAACTGGTCATTTGTTGCATTTTCTTTTCTTTTTCGAAAGGAATTTTTTTTTTAACATGGCTCCTTTTTTTACTTTTAGAAAGTCCGACATCTTTATGTATCTCTGGAAGTCTTGTTGTAAGTTTAAAATTTCCAGTGCCAAGCAACGCACGTCTCGGATCAAACAGCTGATTTTTTTAGACGAGGGACAGTTTGTCTAGCAAACCGGGTAAACTGTTGCTACCAATCCGTAGCTTTTTTTCAAGCTGATATTGATGGACTCAGCATTGTTGTTAGTCCATAGAGATGTAACAACCTACTGATGAAGAGGTGAAATGACGTATACTTTTAATTTTGGTTCCAGGTAACTGAACCAGTAATGTCGAAATATGTCATAATCATCCCATTAGGTTTTCAAATCTGTTCTAGCAACATATCTAATCCCACCTTCGCTGTTCTAATAATGGGCTGGTCAGATTGGGCATCTCCATGTGGTTAATTGACAGATGAAGATCTCTCACCATTGTATTCAAACGAGTTTTTTTTTAACTGGTTTTATACGTCCTTGTAAAAACATGAAATGTTACTGGTCATTCGGACAAAGGCTTTCATCTTCATGTTTGCCCCTACATTTTTGTTTCATATGTCGACCGACAGTTTATTCAGAGGAGGAAATTTGTTTTGATTCCTGAAAATATGGGTCTTTCATCATCTAAAAATACACAAATACATTTAAGGCCCTACGTCCAGTATATATTAAACATTAAGAGAACCAAGGGGTACAACGGCCATGGACTGGTTTGCAGTCGGATTCGGGTCTTCTACCCTGGCTTGCAGCATGTGGAACCCTGTTATGTAGGGCAATGGGGGTAAACAGTTCTCGATAGCTGTTTATTCAACATTGGCTATAGGGTAAAAAAGCAAACACAACACCAATACCTGCAGTTTCGAAATCTAAAACTCACACCGCTATACTCAACACACGACCATACATACAACACAACACACAAATATTCAAACCAGCTAAACACCATACATGTCCCCCGCCCTCCCCATCTCACACCTCATATGCACAAGGAAACTCTTTCCTTTCAAATAACTTAAATCTACCTTAGATATTTAATATAATTTCACCCTATCATAACATTTTCTACTGCATCGTGACTTATCGTGCCGAAACCTCTCGTAACCCTTCTAAATTAGCACATTCATACAAATCACATATATAATTACAAAAACTTGGTATAGTGAACATATATATGCAGAAGGAATGGAGTGGAATCATATAAGCAATAGGCGTTTGTAAAGTGATAAAGTAGCTGAGTCAATTTAACTGGGAAACTTTTTTTGAAGACGGGACAACCAAAAAACGTGTTAATTATAAAAGATCCCTTTATGGATTTTCTCTGTTCGTCGGTGAGACGATACCCGGACACGAGAGGAGTCACGGAGACGGAAATCCTGTTAACCAACCAACCACGTGACAATATTAATAAATATATTATGACATGTCCATCGTACGCTCAGTATAAGACTTTATTACAATTTAACACATAATTAAGTAGATAAAGTACTCTTTGTGGTATATCAATATTATCAAAAGAAAAACAGATTAACAATATGGATTTACAGGGTTCCCATTCACGCACAAATGTGCGTTATTCGCGTTTAATTTTTAAATTTAAATTCCGAGGTAAACGTACCATTCAAGTACATCTCGAACTAATACACTTTATAGGGGAGACAACTGCAGTACAAAAAAACTCAATAATTCGGAACCCATCTGCATTGACGCTATAGTCATCGCTTAGATCGTACATATTTTTAACGAAATGAAGTAATTGCTTTTTTGAAATATCCATAATTAACATTATTTAATAGCACGTGATTGTATGTGGTAGTAAGTGATAGTATGGTATAGTATATGGTAGTGAGGGGGTTAAATCGACGCGCCATTACCTAGATGAACGATAACGGACGATAACCGACATTACAAGGCAAGAGATATACGGGGTGTTTGTCCAAAGGTTGTATTGAGGTCGGATTGTGTTGGTTTTAAGATGATTTGGGTACAGAAATATTTCCTGTTTTTATTCCATTTCATTTTCAGTGTTTTTACATATGAATGTACTTACGTTGATATAACTGTAAACAGGTACATTGCATCAGGCACGCACAAAAGTTGAGATTTAAATATGTACGTGATTTGCAGTCATGGACCGCAGAATCAGAATACAATCTGTGTCTGTGCTTGGACAACTCGCATTGACAGTATTCATTTATCAGTTACCTTGATATTCCAAATAAGTATGCATTTACTGTGTTAAAAAGCGTTTAGGGGACTTCACGTATTCACGGTACCTACTGAGTTAAATTAGTATCGCATATGTGGTTTGAAAGTGAAAGTAGATATTCAAAAGAGCGCGCAAAATATGATTTATAACATTGCTGGAATGTGGAATGAAGGAACGCTTTACATTTCTGATCTATGCTCACTTTTTTGAATGAAATAGTTTGACCAGCTGAGTCTGCAAGAGAAAAAGCAGGCATAGATTGGGACTGAGCCTAAAATATTCAGCACACACAGTTTAAGACCCACCTCCCCCCCCACCATGGGTACTCCATGTTAATTTTTCCACCATCCAGTGTTTGTATAAACATTCATTATTGAATACTTATAGACCACCTCAACTGTTTCTGTCAGGCTACCTGAAAGTAACCCTATTAAAATGTATGAAACTGGTTTTGTGTATAAACCTGTGTAAAGTTAGTAAGATTTGTAAACATGGTAATTTGTGTAAACTTGGTAAAATTTGTGAACTTGTTAAAATGCTGTTTAATTCCTACATCTGTACATAAAGGACTAGAGAGAATTTCTGTGCAGCCTTTTTTCAGAGCAATTGACTGATACACTAGACATTATGGGATCAGTTCAAAGCAAAGGCATATCAAAATTACAAAGACTTCTCTTTTAATGGTGGCTATGTACAGAGAATACTGATGAAACTATCTGAACTGTATGATATATGAAAATTAAAACTTCTTTTGTTTATTACACTAGATGGACAAATTAAAGGTCTACTGGCCTTACAGGTTTGAAGTGCCTGAACCTATCAGAAAGAACGTCTATGTCATTTTGACGGTGACAACTACTTGTGTGATTGGAGCAGTTATCTTAGGAAAACTTAGAAAGTCTAAGAAGCGAAATCACAGGATCAGGGACAAGAGAGACTCCTGCAGAGAAGCATGTAGGAAGCTAGCGGAACATCTGGAGCAAAATGGCGTGAGTTACTGAGTCACTTTTGTCCAAGATATATTCCAAGAGCCTGAATTCTTTTAAGGATGTTATACATTTATGAACTGCCTAAAAAAGGGCCAGTATTAGCAATCTGATTAAAAATTTGTCTCTTATTTCCCTAAAATTAATACTCTAATCAAAATCAAGCTAGGCCAGAATCAAAATCTAGATCATTACAGAACATTAAAAGCAGATTTGGTTAAGAAATGGTCATCGCTCTTAAATTTAGATGGCTACTGGCTCTGTCTCCAAATTTGTTTAAGTCTGTAAAATTTTCCACTCACACAGCTGATAAAATTATGAAAAGTTATGAAGTAGTCTGGGCTTATAACACACTGAGTCTGTGGCAATATAAAGTCAGAAAAAAATTGTTTTTATTTTTTCAGCATGCATCAGTGTTTCCCATTACCCTTGAATGAGGGAACAAAACCATAAAATTGTCAAAATTCAAAAGTTGTACCCCTTGTTTTCAATGACTCCCCTATATGAATGCATTATTGGGGTACATTGTACCTCTGGTTTTAATACCAAGGGTAACACTGACAAATGCTTCCAATACAAATATTAACAATATTATTTAGTTTGTGTGTTTTTTTTTCTCCAGCTGACACTAACAGAGAGGAATGCTATCCTGGAGTTGCCATTTGAAGAGCTCAGACAAAGGCTACAGGATGGAGGACTTCGTTGTATTGATGTGCTTCATGCCTACCAGTCAAAGGTAATAGTTGGTCATGTGACTTGTCAAAGTTAATAGTTGGTCATGTGACTTGTCACAGGTAATAGAAGATCATGTGACCTGTCAAAGGAAAAAAGTGGTCATATGACCTGTCTAAGGTAACACTTGGTCATGTGACCTTTCCAAGGTAGTTGTTTAAAGCATTTCAAACATTTTTCTAAAATGTATGTTGTGTATTTGTGTTACTAATTGCAGTTGTTATTCACTTGATCTTCAATTTAATGAATATTGTGCTCAGTAACCATATAAAAAAATTACACAATGTTTTCAAACTGATCGAGGGTGGACAGTGAACAGCTGAGATATGACAAAATAAATTTGGTTAATAAATGTTTGAAACATCTGATGATGATAAAGATGTACTATTCTGTATCATGTTTAGTCAGAGTTTTACTGTATTATCTTGACCTATTTTTTTCTGTTTATGGTGTACATTAAATGTTTGTGTTTTTCCTCAATTTTACTTAATAATGATTGGTATGATTGTAATATACACAAAGAATGAGGACTTTCCTACCAAGTTCTTGGTATGTTCCATCCCTTTATGCATGCTATAATTATCATCAATAAATGCTGAAACAGAATTATTTATGAAGGTCTGATATGAGATAGTAATTTTTGCATGAAATTTCTACAACAACCTTGTTAATTTGTTTTCCAGGCAATTCAAGTCAATGAACACCTGAATTGTGTTGTTGAACCAATATGGGAAGCAGAGGTATGTTAATATACTTAAACTTTATGTAACAAATTACAAATAATTGCCTTTCAACACTGGTCTCAGATTTCAAATTATTCCAACAGTGTCACAAACTCACCTAATTTTTGTCAGATCAGCCTGATATTGGCCATTGCATTACCTGTTCAAATAGTGAAAATGCTAGAATCACCCAATACCCAAAAGCTTCAAAGACAATTTTTGGAATAGAGTCCAAATACTAATGCTTAAATATAACTTAGGACAGAATCTAAATATATACAGATATGATAACTATACAATAGTATTTATTATAAATTATTTTTGCTGGACGACCATTTAAAAAACAATAGTGACCCCTTGGCTGTGACTGAATTCTTTACATTGTAAACATACTACAGTCAGACACCTGGTATTCGGGGAAGAGGAATTTCTCCTTTCAGCATTAAAAAATTCCTTTGGCCTTTGAATGCCACATTAAAGGGTTACCATGATGATAAAGCAAATATGTGTACATCTTATGAGAAATCATTACATAATTATTTACTTTCACACTCAAACATTAAAAAATATTGCAGGTAAAGTTTAAAAAGTGAAAGAAAAAGAAATGAAAGAAATCACTTTCCATTGCTATTAAAGCTTATGAAAGTGTCACAAGGTATGAAAAAAGACCAATGATTTATCACCATACATAACTTAGTACATTGTTCAAATATTACAGCTGGAAGACTGCATTGTTCCATTAAGTAAAAAAACATATTTGTTGATGTACTGCCTTGACTTAGCTTTCTTATGGAATATATATAGTTTCCCATTAATTCTGGCAGCATTCAAGTCTAAAGAAATTCAATGTTCAGAAGATTGGAGATAACTTACATTTTGATTTTTGTTGCAGATTTGTTAAGGAATTACTGTTGTATAAAAATTAGATTGGTTGGTGACTTTTAGAGTAGAGATTGTTGTATAGACCATATAATGATATAACAGGCTTTAGCACTGGAGAGGGATATGAGCACGAGAAGGAAAGGACCGCTTCATGGTATACCTATCAGTGTGAAGGAAAACTTCTATCTAGAGGTACGTTGTTAGTATCAAGGTCATCACTGTCATTGTTAAGGTCATATTTATCAGTCTATGTGAACATTTTTGTTTAGAGTTAGGTTATATCTGGCAATGTCAACGTCATTCCTGTTAGATTCAACGTCACATACAAAGTCATACTTATGAAGAATAAGGAGAACATTTTAAATAGAGAAATAAGTTATATCTGAGAGTGTCAAATTCATGCCTTTTGATGTCAAGTGTCAAACTCAGTGTAAAGGAGAACTATTATTTTGAGTTAGGTCTTGCACTTTGGTGTCAAGGAGAAGTGCATTTACCACCAATGGCTGACCAACACTTCGGCGAGCAGCACAAGTTCATTGTGAATCTTGTATACATCACGATGTAATGGTATATTGATACTTGTAATCATCTTCCATTTGCAGGGTTATGACTGTACAGGTGGGATGTCTGCCTATCTTGACCTTTGTGTTACTGAGGAGAATACTCTTATAAAGGTAAATTGTAGTTGGGTGTGGTTCTTTCATTGACTAAGCAAACATTGTTGGGTGAGGGCCTAATACTGACTGAGAATGAGTTGGGTGAGGGTGTAATACTGACGGAGAATGAGTTGGGTGAGGGTCTAATACTGACTGAGAATGAGTTAGGTGAGGGTCTAATACTGACTGAGAATGAGTTGGGTGAGTGTCTAATACTAACAAAGAATGAGTTGGGTGAGAGTTTAATGCTGACTGAGAATGAGTTGGGTGAGTGTCTAATACTGACTGAGAATGAGTTGGGTGAGGGTGTAATACTGACTGAGAATGAGGTGGGTGAGGGTCTAATACTGACTGAGAATGAGCCTCCTGTGGAGTAAGTATGAGTTTCAATGGTCTTATTGAGTAAGCAGGAGTTTGGTGTCAGTCTTCTATCCATGGAATTGTCCGTTTATTTGCTGTAGTGATTTTACAAAATGTACCATTATGTGTTGCCTCTGTCCACAGGTTTTGAAGAAGCAAGGTGCCATTCCATTTGTGAGGACAAATATTCCACAGTCAATGATGACTTATGAATGCTCTAATCCCATCTATGGTGAGACTAAAAACCCTTATGACTTAACACGAGGACCGGGTGGATCATCTGGAGGCGAGGCAGCACTCATAGCAACTAGAGGATCCATTTTGGGGTTCGGAACAGACATAGGGGGCAGCATTCGGATACCAAGTCACTTCTGTGGCGTGTATGGCTTGAAACCAACTGTAGGAAGACTAAGGTAAAAAGGTTTGACAGCCTCAGACAATGCATCGACAATCTCTTCATTGTAACATAATCAATTGTATTTTGGGGTTACAATTATAGCTTGGTTGGTTAGAGAAATGGCCTACGTAACCTCAGGTGAAAATCCGAGGTGAGTGACTTATCACTTCCTACCTGTGTCCGTTTGTGTTTCTCAGGTAGTAGAGAGATGAACTGGTACATGCTGTTGTAATTGTGTTCATGGGCAAGGATTTTTACCCTAATTGTTCTGAATGGCACACAATGAGCCTCCTGTATGCTGTGACATAATGATATGTATTTGTTAAACAGTGTCAGTATCTACGATAAAAATCTAAACACTCTTAACATAATTTCTGAATGTTTTCACTTGTAACAAAATTGATTTCTGAAGAAGGAAGAATACTTTTTACTTTTGACAGTATCATACAGAATTTGTAAGAGATACCAGCTAATTGTCTATGATTACCGGGTATGCATGCATGGTGAATCAGAATTGATTTACTCATCATAAATTGTTTAAAATCTTTCAGTTGTCAGTGGAGTATTAAGATAATTGTCTGATCATGACCATCTCTGTAATTTTATGTTTATGTTACAGTAAACAGAATATGCTGCCATTCCAATGTGGTCAGCCCTTGAGTAAGTATTTTATCTGTGTTTCAATGCTGGGAATCTAAGGTCAAGGTCACAGGTTGTAAAATGAAAGTGTTTGTAATTATTCTACAATGATGATTGTTTTATTGGAATTTGATGAATTATCACACAATTATGATTATCGACACTAGGTTTTGTTTGATGATTCAGAGTCAAAGGTCAGGTACAATTTACTTTTAACCATATTAGCTTTACCTGGGAATAGTATACAGATATTGTCTAGACTTTCATACAATGATATAGCCACCTTTTCTCAAAGCTTAATGTGATTGTATTGAAAAGCAGAGAACTTTCATTATTTAGTAAAATAAAAAAGATAGATATGTGTAATTAGAAATTAGGCAATCCCTTGTAACTACCAACAACTTGATATATAGATTCATTGTAGAAGGGCTGACATTTGATGAATGGACAGCAGAAGGGTGTGAGTGTTTATGTGTTGATATTTGATGTATGGACGTCAGAATGATGTAAGTGTGTATGTGTTGATATTTGATGTGTGGACGTCAGAATGATTTAAGTGTGTATGTGTTGATATTTGATGTATGGACGTCAGAATGATGTAAGTGTGTATGTGTTGATATTTGATGTATGGACGTCAGAATGATGTAAGTGTGTATGTGTTGATATTTGATGTATGGACGTCAGAAGGATGTAAGTGTGTATGTGTTGATATTTGATGTATGGACGTCAGAAGGATGTAAGTGTGTATGTGTTGATATTTGATGTATGGACGTCAGAAGGATGTAAGTGTGTATGTGTTGATATTTGATGAATGGACATCAGAAGGATGTAAGTGTGTATGTGTTGATACATATTTTACTACGTGTACGATCTTATGTTTGATATGATCTTTTTCTACGTATGTGACACTTACACAGGTTTGAATTAAATAGAAAACAAGATGACGAGGAATGATTTTCATTACAAAGTGTAACAAAATTAGATAAATGAGAGTTGTCTGAATCCACACTGTTTATATTGCTATATGCCATGACTGATTTCTGTATAACAGTTGGAGCAGTAGGAGGACCTCTAGCCAGTGATGTGGATGGTCTCGTCACTGCAATGAAATCACTACTAATTCCAGCAATGTTTGATCAAGATCCTACTTGTCCCCCAATCCAGTTTAGAAATGAGGTATTAAGTTGATTTTTAATGATTTCTATGTTGACTTAAAACATTTTTAAAAAATTCATATAATTTTGAAGATATGGCATTGTATGTTGGTTTTACATTGAGGGTATGGTATTGACACTGGCTGATCCCCAAGGGTTTAAAACATATCACCTAAGTCTTGCTATTATTAATGTTACAATTTCTTTTTCATGACACTTGAAAGCGGTTTTCCCTATAACTTTTATATTCAATATTGCTTATCTCTAATGACTATTATTAGGTCACTATGCCTCTTGTTTGAAGAGCTATTGACCTTTATCTTTTTCAGCATTGAAATATTGCCTGCAGTTCTCTTTTCTTATCAGGTAGTTTAAATCTGATTGCTTTCAACTTTTTTAGGCTTCATTTCCATTACATGAAGTTATGTTTGCCTGAACAGTATTTTGTTAAGTTTGACCAGGTGTCATCTAAGTTTCTAACCCAATATTTCCAAGCTTTGATGGTATTGTAGCTATTAGTTGAACTCATATTTACCTGACATTTAGTATCAACAAATTTTAGGAGAGTTATTGCTCTTTGCATTTTGCAGCATTCCAGAGATTGCTTCTGTCAGATTTTGATTGATCTCTTTGAAATATGGCATGCTTTATCAGCAAATCATATAGTATTGTTAACTTCTGTGGCCTTCAACTTGGCATTTATTTAATGAGCGATAGCAATTCATTCTCTTTATCTGTTTTATCATGCCTTACTCCTTAAGCTTTTCCTTCAGCTTTCAATGACTTTCTTTTCAACTTGGTAAACTCAGGGACACCTCTATATTAAACATCCCTGGTCAGCTGTGTCTTAATAATGTGAGATAGAGCTTTTTCAGTAGCAATCTTATACTTCTCACCAAATTTGTAATTATATTGATACCATGATATATTTCTGCTTGGCATAGACAGGAATGTATTTATTCTGCCTTATAGTTCTCTTGTTAGTTTACCACTTGTGTAACATATATCTGAATGAAACTTTACTGATATAAGAAATGAAACTCTACAAATTTAAGTATTATTCTGAGAGTATGTATAATAAAGATATAAAAATTGTCAACCAAAGTCGCCTACGGCGGCCTGTCTTCATCTCGACTTTAGTCGCCGATGGCGGCCTGTCTGCATGTCGACTTTAGTCGCCTATGGTGGCCTGTCTGCCTGTCGACTTCAGTCACCTATGGCGCTGAAAGGGTTAATCTAAAATTAGTAGCTTACATAGTCATTTATGTACACATGGGTAATTTTCTTATAAAGAATCTTAGGATGTATTGGCAAATTAGATTTAAACATTCTATATGAAGTAAAAATTTCATGGTGCAATGAAATATTTAAATGGTAATTTTAAAAGAGATTATGTTGGCAATCAGTTGTAGTCAATAGTGGAATATCTATCCTGAAACTTAGGAGATTACTAAAAATACTAAAAAAAACATTAATTTCCTAAAATTCAAAAGGAGAAATATAATACATTCATTTCTACCACTCAAAAAGTGTATATAATCAAGTTTTGAATTCAAATTATGTTTGAGAAAGAACATTCACTTTCTGTTGTTTTTCTGCAGATTTTTGAAGAGAAACGACCATTGCGGATTGGTTACTTCCTAGACAACGGATATATTACACCTGTCCCTGCCTGTCAACGAGCTGTTACCATGGCAACAGAAATATTGCAGGACAGAGGCCACACTGTGAGTTGACTTAGCAGAGACAATATTGAATAAGTTCAGTCAAAAATGATATATCAAATGCTGTACATTAATTGATTCCAAGAGAAAACTGATAAACATGTGTATGGTTACTATTGATAAAGTCTCCACTCTATGCAGTACATTGTAACAGTTGTAGCATCCCTGTGACAAGCATCTTGTTGATGTTGAGAATAAGAATCATTGTTTTGGTATAGATGTATTTAAGAAGATATTTATCTTAGCACAAACAACTGAAAACAATTTTTTAATCCCTGTTTGTGCTAACGATAAGACACAAGACCAAATGATTTATATCACTATACATGTATGTTTCATTAGCTAACCAATATCATTAGGCTATTCATATTAGACAGGAAACCATGTATCTTGGATTGTGAAAATTAAAGTTTGTTATTGCCATTTTTTGAAAAGTAGTAAATTGATATTTCTCATTTTTCATATGTAGGTCTCCTTGGTTTCTTGTATTGCTATGGGGAGGGGTATCTTGGATTTTAACAATGAATATTTGTTATTGCTTTTTCTGGAAAAGAAACGGAGCAAATCAGAGGAAGGAAGAGAAATGAACAAAAAGGATCAAAGGAAGTAATATAAATCATACCATGATTGGTGCTAAGATCTCTTGTTTATTATCACTGATAATTCAGGATTAAATTTCTCTAAATTGATGTTATTTTGTTACAGATTGTCCAGTTTGATCCTCCAGACATAAAGGAGTGCTTTGAACTCTACATGTTGTCTACGTTTGGAGATGGTGGAGATTCCTTTGTTGAAATATTGCAAGTATTCAACTGTTCTGTTTTGAATGGTCTTTCAGATGAGTTGGAAGTGTTCATCAACACCTTTGAAATCTTTGATTGGGATGGTCAGAAAAGTTAAATTATGGTTTGAATAATAACAATCTCTTGAATCTTTCATGTTTAACTGAAAACAGAAACAGTTAGTTTCTAGAATGTAACAGAAACATTAAATCTGTGGCTATTTCACACAATGCGGTTAACAACTTTTGGTTTGATGTATAAAACATACATAAAGGGAAGTATTAAGAAGGAATGGTGGTGACTGTGGTAAGTAGGGAGGGGATTGTGGTAAGTAAGGGTGGGAACTATGGTTAGGGATGGTGGTGACTGTGGTAAGTAGGGAGGGGATTGTGGTAAGTAAGGGTGGGAACTATGGTTAGGGATGGTGGTGACTGTGGTAAGTAGGAGGGGATTGTGGTAAGTAAGGGTGGGAACTATGGTTAGGGATGGTTGGGACTGTGGTAAGTTAGGATAAACATTGTAGTAAGTAAGGATGGGGACTGTGGTAAGTTAGGATAAACATTGTGGTAAGTAAGGGTGGGGACTGTGGTAAGTAAGGGTAAACATTGTGGTAAGTAAGGATAAACATTGTAGTAAGTAAGGATAAACATTGTGGAAAGTAAGGGTGGGGACTGTGGTAAGTAAGGATAAACATTGTGGAAAGTAAGGGTAAACATTGTGGTAATTAAGGTAGGGGATTGTGGTAAGTAAGGATAAACATTGTGGTAATTAAGGATGGGGATTGTGGTAAGTAAGGATAAACATTGTGGTAATTAAGGGTGGAGATTGTGGTAAGTAAGGATAAACATTGTGGTAATTAAGGATGGGGATTGTGGTAAGTAAGGGTAAACATTGTGGTAATTAAGGATGGGGATTGTGGTAAGTAAGGATAAACATTGTGGTAATTAAGGATGGGGATTGTGGTAAGTAAGGATAAACATTGTGGTAATTAAGGGTGGAGATTGTGGTAAGTAAGGATAAACATTGTGGTAATTAAGGATGGGGATTGTGGTAAGTAAGGGTAAACATTGTGGTAAGTAAGGATGGGGATTGTGGTAAGTAAGGATAAACATTGTGGTAATTAAGGGTGGAGATTGTGGTAAGTAAGGATAAACATTGTGGTAATTAAGGATGGGGATTGTGGTAAGTAAGGGTAAACATTGTGGTAAGTAAGGATGGGGGTTGTGGTAAGTAAGGATAAACATTGTGGTAATTAAGGATGGGGATTGTGGTAAGTAAGGGTAAACATTGTGGTAAGTAAGGTAGGGGACTGTGATAAGTAAGGGTAAGCATTGTAGTAAGTAAGGGTGGAGATTGGTAAGTAAGGATAAACACTGGTAAGTAAGGGTGGTGACTGTGGTAAGTAAGGGTTAACATGGTAATTAACAAGATTTGTCTTTATTCATTTGAACTTAATTGGTAACATAGTGATTCCCTTGAACTATAAAAAAATTCATCACTAATTTAATCATGGTGTCTTGTTTCAGGAAGAATGACCAGGTTGATCCCACTCTCCAGCTAGCTCACCTCAGCCTCATCCTACCAAAATGGCTGAGCATATTAGGTGGCTGGGTTTTGTCAAAGTTTGCTGGTGTAAGTATTATTTGTACAGTTACTGTAATTCAAAGACGGATCAGAAAAAAACATTTTGCCAACAGGCAATCTTCATGGATTCAGGAATGAAGGATTATCAATATTTTTTCAGGTGAATTTTCAAATCTCGTGTGATTAAAAGCAAAAACAGCTCCTCTCGGTCCATAGGTGTGGTCCAGACTTTTGATTTAAGAAGAAATGAATTTTGATCCAGAGCTTATAGAGTGTGGCATAAATTTTGTTCATGGACAATTCTAAGCTCTACTCAAATATCAAGTCAAACACACAGGATATAAAAGATATAGTTATATATATGATTATGAAGTTGAAGAGAGGCAAGGAAATTTGATTGATAATTGACAAAAGAAGATGTTACATTTTGCACTGGAGCTTTTGCTGTATTAGATCTTCAGGTGAAAGTAGTAGTACATAAATGAATGATGTCACATATTGTTATACTGGTGTATATATACGTCATATTTGTGTTTTACACCAACAGCTGAGTGCGAGGGATAATGACATGCTTTGCAGCTCTTTGTTGTCTAGTTTTTCCTGATGCTGATCTCAAAACTTATTCAATTTAAATTTACCCCATAGTATCATAACACCAAGTCTACCACACTTGATTAGTTTCTGGTTTTCATAGGACTAGTGAGGGCATCATGTCTTACAGCCTTTTTCTAGTTAAGTTAACCATAACTGTGTCAAATCACTTATTTTATTTTGATAATTAACTATTTTTTTAATTGATAAATTATTATGACATATGGAATTAAAATGTGTTCATTTTCAATTCAGCACTTCAACTAATTATAATTTACCCCTTCTTTTCCAGGACCGTATGTTGTATATTATCAATAAGTGTATGACAGGTGCAGGGTAAGTATAAAATGACAGAACGGGGCAGATGAGAATGTGAGGGAAGGCTGATGAGAATACAAGTGGAAACGGATGAGAATATGGGGGAAGGCTGATGAGAATATGAGGGAAGGCTGATGAGAATGACAGTATGATGGAAGGCTGATGAGAATGACAGTATGAGGGAAGGCTGGTGAGAATGACAGTATGATGGAAGGCTGATGAGAATGACAGTATGATCGAAGGCTGATGAGAATGACAGTATGATGGAAGGCTGATGAGAATGACAGTATGATGGAAGGCTGATGAGAATGACAGTATGATGGAAGGCTGATGAGAATGACAGTATGATGGAAGGCTGATGAGAATGACAGTATGAGGGAAGGCTGATGAGAATGACAGTATGAGGAAAGGCTGATGAGAATGACAGTATGATGGAAGGCTGATGAGAATGACAGTATGATGGAAGGCTGATGAGAATGACAGTATGATAGAAGGCTGATGAGAATGACAGTATGATGGAAGGCTGATGAGAAAATGAGGGGAAACTGATGAGAATATGGGAGCAGACAGATGGGAATATGAGGGGAAACAGATGAGAATTTAGGGAAAGCAGATGAGAATATGGGAGCAGACAGATGAGAATATGAGGGCAGGCATGAAAATATGAGGGAAAGCAGATGAGAATATAAGATGAGACATGAGAATTTAGGGAAAGCATATAAGAATACAATTGGAGACAGATGAGAATACGAAGGCAGATAGATGAGAATATGAGGAAAGGCAGGTGAGAATACAAAGGGATACAGATGAGAATATTTGGGCAGACATGAAAATATGAGGGACGGCAAATGAAAATGACAATATGATGGAAGGCTGATGAGAATATGAGTGGAAATGGATGAGAATTTAGGGAAAGCAGATGAGAATACAAGTGGAGACAGATGAGAATATGAGAGCAGGCAAAAGAGAGGTATGGTTCTTGTACACTGCACTTCTCCTTATCGAGATCTATCTTCTTTTGAAGTTTCATGTTGATACCTCCAATATTTTATGTGATATCCGGGGAGCATCCATCGGTTCTACGAATTCTGTTGTTTTAATGAAATTTTTGTGATGCAAAAATGTAAAAATTAGCTGCCATGAAAAAAGATGTCTGATATATGTGTAAATTATAATAATGCTTTTGTTATAGATCTGTATCAGAATACTGGAAGGTAGAAGAAAGGATTCAGGTATTGATTACATGCAGCTTGTACAATGTCATTATATAAATTGAGATTATTTTAGCTTTGATATGGAGCAATGTTTGTCTTCAATATTTTAAAGAAATTTGTCCTAAACACCAGAAGGGTTAGAGCTTAAACACTGTTAGATATAACAATAGATCAAATGTAATATTAGTTGTGAAAATAAGTGTAAAATTAAATTTTTTAATGATATCAGAATTAAAAACTATTGAATCATTAGATGTGACAATAGATTTAATATTATTTGTGACAAGAAATGAAATATTAGATGTGACAATAGATACAATGTCATCTAATGTTAGATGTGAAAATTGATGTAATATTTGATATCAGTATGAAGATAGTATTTTTACCCTTGGTCTCTATCAGGCCTATAAAAAGAAGATGTTGAGGAAGTGGAGAGCAAACAAGCTAGATGTTCTCATCTGTCCTGGCTTTGCCTTCCCTGCTGTCCGTAGCGGAAATGTGTTTAATGTCTTAGGTTTGTTTTTCTGCTTTTGTTTTGATTGATGCCATCAATAATGTCTTGATCAAGTGTACATCTCTTACATATATAACAATGCATCAGCAAGGATTCGAACTTGGGACCTGTGGTTTACTAATCTGCTGCTGATGGGGTGGAAGAGAAGTTCTCTCCAGCTAGTGTTTTACCTTGGTTATACATATCCTAGGAGGCATTGTATAAAGGGTTGTAAAATTGGGCAGACAAAACAAACATATAGAGAAATCAGAAACCATATTCTCTTCATAGATGAAGAAAAGGAGGGGAGGGGGAATGGGGAGGGTGTGAATGGCATATTCTAATTGTGTCTGTGTTAACATCTGATAATCATTCAGTGGGCCTCTAAAGGTCTTTTTCTTGCAGTTATTGCTGTTTGCCTGTGAATTAACAACTATCACATTATGTGTTATGTATGTTTCAGGTGGCGTCTCATACACTGTATTTTTCAACCTGTTGAATTACCCTGCAGGCTCTATGCCTATCACTAAGGTGACAGCTGAAGATGAAGCAAACCTGGCTGTGTACCCCACAAAGACCGGATATGAGAAGGAAATAAAAAAGGTATATTATGCAAATGGTTACAATACTGACTTTCAATTTTCTTTTTATGATTGTTTTTAAGGCAATTTGACACTAATACGTTGTTTAATATATACACAGAGGCCATTTCACTAACATGTTTCCTATATATGTAGCTAGGTTGGTTTATATTACAGGACAGTGTTGGGTCTAAGGGTCTTCCTGTTAATGTCCAGTGTGCAGGCTTACCTTACCAGGAAGAGCTGGTCCTTCGTGTGATGAGAGAACTACATGAAGATAGGAATAAAGCTTGAAGGTTTCAAAACTAGCCAACCCTTTAACTTACAATTTTTGAACTTTTCATTGTGGAGTTGTGAATTCTGAAGAATATTATTCCAGTGTTAAATCATGTGCAATTTTAGAGTGAAATCTGTAAAAAGGGTTTTTGTTGGCTCAGCCTTGTTACATTATACGTACATTTCGAAGTTTTATTTGATGTACAATGTTGTAGTATTATCGGTTGTGAAGCTTTCTTGAATGTATACTACAGACATTCATTGAAGAGATAACAAGATGCATTTTAATCACACAAGCTTTTATCTGTACAGGTTACAGTCAAATTTGTGAAAATATAATATTTATTGGTATTTACGCATGGCAATTAGGTCTGTGCAAGACTTCAAGATATATGTAAAGTCAAATTTCTATCAACTTTTAACTTCGATGATTCAAATTCCGTGATGTATCAATTTTTTTGGCACAGTCCAGAATTATATTCTTATATATTACTACTAACTTATCGCATTATGAACTGAACACATTTAATCAGTAACGATAATGGGACATCGTGTGATGTTCACTGCTACAATTGCGGTGATAATTTATAGTGAAGTCTATTTTATGGAATTGTGTAAACATATGGAAGAAATCCTGAACATCATTTTGATGATTCTGCTCATTCTCAAAGCATCACTTTTAAGCATAAAAGCATGAGAAACAAAGAGGTTTTATCTGTCAATCACATCTTCTGTTGATTCAAACTAGACGTCGTCAGAATGTTGGTAAACACATTTGTAATTTTTACGACCAAAGAGATGCGATGTTAGTGCTGTCATTCCTAGACAGAATATGTTATATAAATTTGATCTATTAAATTTATTAGTGCCTATAACACACTGCTAACCTGCAGACTGAGTCTGACTTCAATCTTTTTCAAGTGAAGGAACACTGTTGTGTGTGATAATATTTGATAAATGAGGATGTTTCCTTGTAAATTAACCTATGCTGATTTTGTTACAATCTATATTTATATTTTATTAATGATTTTGAATTTTAGTTTTGATGTACATTTAGAAACATAACACCATTTCTTAATGCTTTGAAGTATTACGCATGAAGGCATTGATACATTTACCCAGTTGTAAATACTCCATATTTGTTCTTGTTGTATTTTAAATAATGTCACACTGGTATTGGATTGTTATTTAGATATTACAATTAATTGGGATATATGACCAGATTAAACGGTGAATTTCAGGTCCCCGTTCATTATCTTTATTGCTTTGGTAAATCTACTCCATGTTTTTTCATAGAAAGACTTTTCACTTACCCTAGACAAATGTATCCACACTGTAATTTCAACTGATATGAAAGTATGTTGCCTCGCCCAAGTGTTGAGATGGGAGGTGATGCCCCTTTCATGACTATGATGCAGTATATCAACAGTGCCAAGCAACAACATGTATATTACTAGGTCAGCAGATAAAGAAAAAAATATCTATCGCTTTTTTTTGGTGAAACAGAGGGATTTCAACCTCTAGAGGAACTTGATTAATGTTGCAAGCACTTGACAAGCCTCATGTTTGCCTACTTAATAGTCCTTTCCCGTTGGTTGAGATTCCTGATATCTTTTTGTTGAAAGATTCTGTCAATCTTTTTTCTTTTTTTTTTTAAGTCATCAGACCCGAAGGGTCGAGATGACCTATAACCATCGTGCTTCGTCCGTCGTTGTCCGCCATCCGCCGTGCGTTGTCCGTAAACTTTTCATTCAAAAAACATCTTCTCAAATACTAGAAGGCCTAGGGGGCTAATACTTGGCCCTTAGCATGCTGGCATGGAGCCCTACAAAGTCACAAGGGTCAAATATGTTAAAATATACAAACGACTTCTTCTCAATAAGCAAAAGTCCATGAGTGCTGATATTGGGCCTGTAGGATGCTTGGAGGAAAGGCTACAAAGTTTGTTCAAATTAATGACCTTGACCCACTTTCAAGGTCACAGGGGTCAAATATTTTAAAATTTTTTAAACAACTTCTTCTCAATAAGCAAAAATCCATGAGTGCTGATATTGGGCCTGTAGGATGCTTTGAAGAAGTGTTACCAAATGTGTTCAAGTGAATGACTTTGACCCACTTTCAAGGTCACAGGGGTCAAATATTTTGAAATTTTTAAACAACTTCTTCTCAACAACCAAAAGGCTTAGAATGCTGATATTGGGTCTGTAGCATGCTGGGATGAAGGGCTACCAAGTTTGTTCAAATGAATGACCTTGACCCACTTTCAAGGTCACAGGGGTAAAATATATTAAAATATACAAACGACTTCTCAATAAGCAAAAGTCCTAGAGTGCTGATAATGGACCTGTAGGATGCATGGATGACATGCTACCAAATTTGTTCAAATGAATGACCTTGACCCACTTTCAAGGTCACAGGGGTGAAATATGTTAAAATATGCAAATGACTTCTTAATAACCAAAATGATTAGAGTGCTGATAATGGACCTGTAGGATGCATGGATGACATGCTACCAAATGTGTTCAAGTGAATGACCTTGACCCACTTTCAAGATCACAGGGTTCAAATATGTTAAAATCTGTAAACGACTTCTTCTCAGTAACCAAAAGGCTCAGAGTGCTGATATTGGGCCTGTAGGATGCTGGAAGGAAGGGCTACCAAGTTTATTCAAATAAATAAAAACCACTGTTTTACCAGCAGTCTCACTGTTGTTAGAGTTTGGCTTGCTTTTTGTCAGATGACCGTTAAGGCCCATGGGTCTCTTGTTTTTTATTTAAACTTCATTGATTTAACAAGATTGTGAAACAAGTTTTTCTTCTTGGCATGGATGGAAGTGACTGTGGGGTCTTACTCAAGGAAGAATTTGTTTACTATCACTCAAACAGGACAAGACTAGAGAAGTAATTCCATTTAGAAATGAACATGTACCATTATGTTAATCTCAATAATTGTGTGTTGTATGTTTATTCTTTGTTTCAGGATATGTCTGCTTTTGATTCAAGGGCATTTGGGTTAATTTCAGACATTTCTGAGTATAAGAAGACTGCTTTTTTTATAAATGATTCCAACATATGCATTATTACCATGGCAAGCTCGTTAGATTTGTTACTTCAACAGAAAAAACAAACTCTACATATGAATTGAAAATGGTCGCTTTATTGCTTTTAATAAACGTATACATAAAGATGTACATATACAACAAATTTCCATAATATACATGTACAAAATTTTCTTGTAAATATTGTTTTGAGAAAATTTTTGACAAGTCTAAGATGGGGGTACAAAACCGCCACAGAGAAATTTACCCTAGGGTGTGTAAATAAACACCTTTAGGGTAAGTAATCACTCCCCACTTACGATAGAGTGTGTAAATAAACACCTTCAGGGTTAAGTAATCACTCCCCACTTACGATAGGGTGTGTAAATAAACACCTTCAGGGTTAAGTAATCACTCCCTCTTACGATTGAGTGTAAATAAACACCTTCAGGGTTAAGTAATCTTAAATAAACACCTTCAGGGTTAAGTAATCACTCCCCACTTACGATAGGGTGTGTAAATAAACACCTTCAGGGTTAAGTAATCACTCCCCACTTACGATAGAGTGTGTAAATAAACACCTTCAGGGTAAGTAATCACTCCCCACTTACGATAGGGTGTGTAAATAAACACCTTCAGGGTTAAGTAATCACTCCCCACTTACGATAGGGTGTGTAAATAAACACCTTCAGGGTTAAGTAATCACTCCCCACTTACGATAGGGTGTGTAAATAAACACCTTCAGGGTTAAGTAATCACTCCCCACTTACGATAGGGTGTGTAAATAAACACCTTCAGGGTTAAGTAATCACTCCCCACTTACGATAGGGTGTGTAAATAAACACCTTCAGGGTTAAGTAATCACTCCCCACTTACGATTGGGTGTTAAAAAATCCTTCAGGGTAAGTAATCTCTCCCCACTTACGATAGGGTGTGTAAATAAACACCTTCAGGGTTAAGTAATCACTCCCCACTTACGATAGGATGTTTAGAAAACCCTTGAGGGTTAGTAATCACTCCCCACTTACGCTAGGGTGTTAATAAAAACCCTTCAGGGTAAGTAATCACTCCCCACTTACGATAGGGTGTTCAAAAATCCTTCAGGGTAAGTAATCTCTCCCCACTTACGATAGGGTGTTCAAAAAAATCCTTCAGGGTAAGTAATCTCTCCCCACTTACGATAGGGTGTTAAAAAATCCTTCAGGGTAAGTAATCTCTCCCCACTTACGATTGGGTGTTAAAAAATCCTTCAGGGTAAGTAATCACTCCCCACTTACGATTGGGTGTTAAAAAATCCTTCAGGGTAAGTAATCACTCCCCACTTACGATAGGGTGTTAAAAAATCCTTCAGGGTAAGTAATCTCTCCCCACTTACGATAGGGTGTTAAAAAATCCTTCAGGGTAAGTAATCACTCCCCACTTACGATTGGGTGTTAAAAAATCCTTCAGGGTAAGTAATCTCTCCCCACTTACGATTGGGTGTTAAAAAATCCTTCAGGGTAAGTAATCTCTCCCCACTTACGATTGGGTGTTAAAAAATCCTTCAGGGTAAGTAATCTCTCCCCACTTACGATTGGGTGTTAAAAAACCCTTCAGGGTAAGTAATCTCTCCCCACTTACGATAGGGTGTTCAAAAAAATCCTTCAGGGTAAGTAATCTCTCCCCACTTACGATAGGGTGTTAAAAAACCCTTCAGGGTAAGTAATCACTCCCCACTTACGATTGGGTGTTAAAAAATCCTTCAGATTAAGTAATCTCTCTCCCATCCGCCACTGCTGATAAGCTACTTTGCAGACAAAACTTCTTTTACTCACAATACCTGCTTGATTTTGACCTGACATGATGCTGATGTCATGATGATCATCATCATAAATTGTTACCTGTTGACAAATAACGAAAAGATCCCAGGAGAACTGTTTTACCTACTCGCTTTAATTTTTGCTCTCGATAAGAAGAATTCCTTTGAAGAAATAGCATTAATAATCTTTAACTGTTGAATCAAAGATGGTCGCCTGTCTGCAAATCAGACGGGACTAAGGTAATTTACATATAAGATTGAGAAAGATCCATCCTGCCTATCTTAAGGAGCAGAGATAACAAACTTTATCAGAATCCAAAATGGCTGCTTGTTAGCAGTTTTGGTTTTGCGTCTAGCCGGCTCAATATCAAATGGGCGCAACTAGGGATCAAGGGGAATCTACATATAAGATTTGAGAAATATCAGTTCAGTACATCTTGAGGAATAACGATAAAAAACATTTACAGTCAAAATCCAAGATGGCCACTCCTTGGCCATTTTGTTTTCTGATAATTAGGGGCACAGAGGAGCTTTATGACATCCATCTATTTCAAGAAATAGTCGTAACAAGAATTATTTAAGTACAGGGAGAACAAGTGTCCAATAGGGTCGTATATAAGTGTGAAATATAAAGCCTGGGAGACAGAAGCGGTCAAATTAAATATGTATTTCTCAGATTCATGAGAAATAACAATAATTCAGGTAATGATATGAGTATAAATCCTAGAGAGAGAGAGAGAGAGAGAGAGAGAGAGAGAGAGAGAGGGGGGGGGGGGTGGTTTACATGTAGTAGGTAAAACTTGATAAAGCCAGTGGTCTTGACGATTTGTAGAATTAACTTTTTGTTGCATGTAAAGATACTTCGGTCCCTTGTTTAAAAGTGTTTTTAACAGAATATTCAGCTCTGTTTTTTTTCGGATAGCATTGGACCTATCATACCACTATTTAAATGTGTGTGGAGGGGGGATGTAACAGATAATTATAGAGGTATTACCTTAGTAAGTTGTCTTGGAAAAATTTGTACAGCTATCCTCAATGAGAGATTGATTAAACTTGATAGAATCTATTCTATCATTACCGATGTACAGTTTGGATATAGAAAAGACCTATCGACATTAGATGATATTCTCTGATTAATAGAACTTTTAAAATCGTTGCAGACTTTATTGTTATTTTATTGACTACAAAAAAACTTTTGATTTTGTTAGCCGTCCAAATATTTGGTATAAAAGGATTAAGATAGGAATGGGTGGATTTCTGAAAATTATAAGAAGTCTTCATGACAAGGTAAGATGTGTTAAACTGATTTCTTCAAATGCGACTTGGGATTATTTCAGGGGGGATATGTTGTCTCCCCTTTTTTACTTTGTTAATGTTTAATAATGGATTTTATGAAAAAAATAGT